ACCTTGATGGTTAACTGCTCAAACTGAGCTGCATCTACAAAATTACAGTTTTCTGACAGAAGTCGACAGTCTGGTACAACCGTCTACAGTTACGAGAGAAAATACCAGATGTTCGAAGATTGTTAGAATTATCTTTACGTGAGGTTTTAAATATTTGGCTTAAGGCTGGAGATTAACGATACCTTAACTCGTTTGTGGAAGCCTATCTGAAAATAACCATGTTCCCTCGAATCTCAGTCTTAAGTCCTCATGTAGGTGGTTTAAGCAGGTCTCTGTCAGCTCGGTTTGCTAACCGCATAAAGAAATTCTTTTTATACTAGTTCGACTACATACACATTAAAAAATATTCTCTGAACACGAACACATACACGACACAGCCGAACACTCTTTGAACAAGTATAACTGGGGACGAACCTTATCAGGAATGTGGCCACGTCATCGTGTCGTGGGTGTCCGTCCTGTAACGCGGACAGGTGCTGGCAGTGCGGCGACTGTGACGCGTCAGTAAAGAGAGACATGCATTGGAGCTGTGTCACCCCGCCCCCCCCCTACCCGCCCAAGCACCCACTACCGGACAGCATGCGCACCGAGGCATGGAAGCTCGGTAAGGAGTGGGGCTGGGTAATTTTATAAAGCCGCTCTTACGCATCTGCTGGGCAGCGCGCTGTATCACGCGTCTAGCCCCCGAATTGGTTCCTCTGGGGCAGTCTGTGCTTTGTCTAGCACGAGGAAAACTACTGCCTGCTGGCTTCAGGGTCCGCCTCCAAAGGCATTCAAGCATTGGGGGTTGAAGCGGGTTCAGTTGGGTCTAACTTGGCATCTGCCTCGTGTTTACGACCATCACACATCCGATGTTTACTTTGAGAGTCTTAAAGCATTGCTTGAACTTATAATAAGCAAATTACTCAAAAGCATTCACCCTTATATCTTTTAATTTGAAAAATCCACTTTGACGAGTTTTGCGACTACCTAAAGTTAAGATAAACCAATAAAATGCTCCAAACGTTGTCATCTTTCGTGAACTAACAACACGAAATGGCCTATATGACTTGCTTCTATTTAACATGGTAGAATAATAAAGAAGGGATGGATGTAGCCTGGATTCCTGGGATGTAAAGCGTTCGTTTCAACCAACATTAAAATCTGATCAGTTTCTCGAAAAGGTAGTACATTGGTCAAAGTTATTTAGGTATCCATGCCTTCCACTTAATTTGGTTGCTTGAACCAGGAGTTTGGTATTTGGCCGCAAGTTTTTGAACCGCAATCTGCTTCTTACTATGGTTGAGCAAAATAAATTAATAACTTCCGGTATTACTGAGGTAAATACTGATATCGAACTAAAGGAAACCGAGAACCGAGGTCCAAAATCGCATATGATGCCTGAAAGCGTTGGAGAAGCAGAGACGAATGTTTATTTCAGAAGCAGACTTACAACATCAATGCACATTAATATACAGATGCGCAGGCTATAAGTCCGAAAAATTCATGAACCACTGCCACGTTACCAACTGAATGGCTGAAATCGAATCACAGACTATTAGCAATACCATTACAACGGTCATTTCGAAGTTGACAACGGTTATTGTATTCTCTAAAGGTCTGTTGCGAAGTTCCAACCGTAGTAGTTTTGATTGCAATGCAGTAATCTGATGCCAACGGATAGGGACAAAACGACAATTTCTGTCAATTTTATACTCGAAAGAAGGGCATAATTTGGTTTTAAAAGTTTCTTAGTGTGAGATTTTTCAGTACCGTGATATGGTCGTTCATAAAACGTCATGTCTCTGCATTTACTAGTGTTGCTTTCAAAGTTAACAATATGGGTCAAATTCTCTGCTAAATTCTACGAACCCCATATGATCTCTTCTGAAAACCGTAGAGAAATTTACAGTTTTCTGTACGCGGAACATATACGGCTTGTAGTTTGGAAACCCTGAATGCAAGTGTAACGGCAGGTCGAGTTCAAAATTATTCGGGAATTGGAAAAGTTTTACTAAACCGAATTAAACCCTTTCTTCGAGTATAAAATTGAAAGAGGACGTAATTTTCTACCAAATAAGTAGAAGAATGAATATGTGTATGCATGTTTTCCATGAAATATAATTGCACTTTTAAGGGCATCGAAAGTCAATGAGAAAATTGCATGATAATTAGGTGGTCATTTTTTACAGAGTACAGTTTTTGCATGCAGCCGGAAGGAAGTTCGTTCGAAAGCTGGCATCCTTAGGTAACTGAATTATTATTGAAGCATGCTTCAAGATGATTGGTTTTACAACCCTACTTAATTATTCCTTTCGAAGCGAAAACGCATTTCGGAATTTCGGTTGACATTTCATGCGTTAGCCCACCTACTGTGGTAGTGGGTGCGCAGCCCACAAATGCCTGCCATACCCTGATCTCTCCCCTCGCCTTTGGTGCAGCGAAACTCCCGCATAGCGCGTTATAGGGGCCTCAGTGCAAATTAAATCACTTCCGAAATGCGTTTCCGTTTCGAATAGATTAAGTAAGCAGAGTTGTAAAAGTAGTCAGCCTGCAACACGAAAATAGGAACGCCCGAATTATACCATTCCTTCGAGTATGAGATTAGAGGAAGACGTAATTTTCTACCGAATGAGCAAAAGAATGAATATTTTTATGCATGGTTTCCATGAAATATGATTGAACTTTTAGCGGCATCGAAAATCAGTGAGACAAATTCATGCTACTTAAGTAGTCACTTTCTACAGAGTGTAGTCTTCGCATGCGGCCGGAAAGTTCATTCGAAAGTCGGAATCCTTAGGTAATTGAAATATTATAGAATTATGTTGTGGGTGGACTAGTTTCACAACCCTACTCAACTAATCTTTTCGGAATGAAAACGAATTTCGGAATTTCGGTTGAGATTTCATGAGTTAACCCACCCAGTGTGTGTTATGTCGCATAAGCACACGCTTTTTGTATCATTTTTGAATTTCATACTGCCCTTCACAAACTAGAAATCAATTTTGCCGCTATTTGTATAAACTGAAGGTGAAACTCTAAATACAATATTTGAATTTCTCATAGTCCGCAAAACATCCGCATAACACTCTTTTATGCCAGTCGCCTTTTTATAAAGTAGAGTAACACAAGATCTGAAGGTGCAAACGTTGGATGTTTAGGTCAATAAACAGGATAGGATTGGTCTACAGAAAATTGGTATATGATGTCTCCCTGACGTCGTGGATAAATATGTGTTATTCCTTCGACGGAATGCATACAGTGCGTAGTTTGAAAACTCTAAATGTAATTGTAACCCCAGATAAGGCAGTCGCTTATTCGGGGATTGATAACGTTTCTAAAAACCCAAAAACATTATCTTTTCAAGTAGAAAATTTGAACAAGGTGCAATTTGCCCCCAAATGATTGCAAAACAGAATGAAGTAAAATTTAACTTATAAGGGCACTGAAAGTCAGTGGGAAAAGTGTATACTATTTAAGTGGTCGTTGTTCATAGACTATTGTTTTTGCAGACGGCCGGACAGAAGCTCACTAAAAAGCCGACATCCTGACGTGACTGACATATATTAGGATTATGTTGCACGATAATTAATATTACAACCCTTCTCAAGCGATCACTTCAAAACGAAAACACATTTCAGAACTCCAAATAACATTTAATGAGATATCCCATCCACCGTACAACCTTTCCACCACGTCACACCGACAGATCGGCTGTCGTAACCGATACTCCCCAGCGTATGTTCGGCTGTTGGGTGAGAGCAGGCACGGTGACCTTTGTGCGAATTAGTTTATAGTGGTAGTGGACTTGCACAACATTTGCCACCCTCCCTTCTCCTCCCCAACCCGAGCCCAGTGTGAAGACATAATCAAGAATGGTGGGGGACGCTCACCGATCGTTCTTTTGGAACTCACCCGTTCTATTGTGTCTTACGGGCTCTCTCTCAAGCCTGACCAGTAGCCGCACAGCGACACACGACATGGGCAGTATGTTATTACCGACATAGGCAAGAGATACTGTAATGGTCATTCCTGGCTCATTCGGCTAATGAGCCAGAAATCGCCATTTCATTCTTCCTTCTCTTTGTCGGGAATAACATTCTGCCTATAGACAAGAAGATCGAAAGCGAAAGAGGGTGCAGGTGGCTGGTACGACCGGACCCGCACCTGGCCGTACCATCACACTCCCGTTCCACAACGAAAATTTGGCCAGGATTTTAACCAATGACAAAAGTGGGTCAGGAAGAGGAGATGATGATACGAGTCGCTGGACTACCATGCATACGGCCTGTATGCCCATCGGGAGCGCAAGCGCATCTACCGGCAGGGAACCAGGTGCCAGAAAACTCAATGTGGACACCTGGCTGGGAGAGCCATGGTTTGCTGAATCAGGATCTAGCAGACGCGCACGAACCACAAAGCGCGGATGGGCGTGACGCAGCCCTCCATTTAGCGTGGGCCATCACGCTTCAAAGGCTGGGTAACCAGTCAGTCCTTGACTGAGAGACACTACCTATAGAACACACACACTCCTCACATGCGTGAGTGTCAGATGTCCCGTTAAAAAGGAGACGTTGCGGCTTGACTTAGAGCCCATCAGTCTGCCACTCCACACAAACACACCCAACTGGGCGGACTGCGTGGAGTGAGTTGAGGCATCAGTCGGCAACCTTTTAAGTCCCGCCAATTGGCGCACAGTGATAATATCAGACTCGGATCACACATGCAGCAGAGTAGTCACATGGACAAGGAGCCGAGGAGCACAATTTCCACTTAAGTGAGAGGTGTCATTTGAAGGCTTGATTTGTGTACCGATGGGTGAAGTGTGGTGCAGGTGCTGGTGGGGGAAAGTGCGGTGGTTTGGTAGAGCCAGTGGTTGTCTACTGCAGGTTTTTGTGAGTGAATGTGCGGGTGCAGTGAGGACAGTTGGGGCGGATGCGTCTAGTGTATTTGGGTGCTTCAGGCACTGGTTCGCCGGCCTCTGTGCGATGGATTCGCAAGTGACAGACCAGGCCAATGTGTTAGGCGAATGTGCTATCGCTCTGAGGACAGGTTGAGACCGAGTCCGCATCATTGGTGTTGGCGAGGATGAGGTTGATGTTTGGCAGTGCGTCGGAATTGTTTGCATTGGAGGTGAGGGCAGGAGCCGCCGCAGCAGATATTGAGGTGGTGATGATAGTGGAGGATGGCGATGGAGAATCGAGAGCACCGTTAGGTTTGGCTATCGACATAAGAGGTGGGGCAGAGGCGGACGATGAGGCATCAATTTGTGTCGTGTGCGTGCTGCAATTGGTCCAGACATGTCCAGTAAATCCAGTTTGTGTCCAGAATGTCCGCTGACACTGGAGGCATGTTGGAAGCGGTCGAATGTCAATGTTGGCAGGCGAAGGTATTTGGGATTTTTGAGTTTCGCGTTTGGCTTTGGCGGCGGTTACGTGGTTGGCTTCGTAGATCGCTGCTCCTGTCTCATTGTCCTCCTCTAGGCCGGTCGGTTCCGGGCAAGGTCTTCCCAGTTTCCTGGATTGATCTACAGGTTCATCAAGGAAGCCTTCAGAGTGTTCTTGTGGCGTCGGAATTGATCCCCTTGTTGACGAGAACCCGTGGCGACATCTCCATAGAAGGATCGTTTAGGTAGTCGCTCGTCGCCCATCCTCACGAGGTGGCCGCTCTAGCGCAGTTGCAATTATCAAAATGGCGTGGATGCTGACAATTCCTGTCCATCTCATTTCGCACGTACTCTGAATCCGGTCCCGCCACCTCATCTTCAGTATTCGCCGACGACAGCTGAAGTTGGAGTGGTTGAGCTTCTGTGCATGCATCTTATACACCGTCCAGGTGGGACTGAGCCCGCACTGGTGGTAGTGGGCGCGATGAATGTTGTCAATAGTCTCAGCGGCCATCTGTAACTTGAGCTCCTCCTAGAAAACCAGTGCGGTTTCTGATGGCACCGCGGAACAACCTACATGATCTTTACCGCCCCGCAATTACAGGAGAAGTGCCAGGAAACGCATGCCAACCCCTATACTACCTTCGGGAATCCGATGAAGGCCTTCGACACCGTTAATTGCCATGGACTTGACAAAATTGGACAGAGATTCGGTTGTCCTGGTGGATCCAGGTACACAGTGCGTAAGCTCCACGATGGCATGATGATTTTCGTAACGGACAACGGGACAGTCTTAAAGGTATGTACAGGGACCAACAGAGTAAAGCAGGGCTGCATACTCGTCACCGCCCTCATCAGTTTCATGCTATTTGTCATGTTACTGGACGCCTGCCTCAATGAGCACTCCGGGATCAACATCGCCTAAGTGACCGACAGGCGGTATGTCAACATCCGACGAATACAAGAATCCACATGGACATCAATAACCACTGCCTATGAACACTTCGCGGACAAATGAGCACTTAATGTCACGGCAAAAGCAGCCGTACAAGGAATCGTTGACCTCTTTGACTCTGGCAGGGCAAACTACAGGCAGTTAATGAATATTACGCCGTTACCCGCTGTGGCTGATGGACTTTGGTCCAAATATTCATACATAAAATTCTCGGTCTGAGACTAAAGACCTTGAATAAACTGATATACTCTAACTTCGTAGATAATTTCGGAGGAAATTAAAAAGCAACAATTTATAAATTAGATTATCTACCATAAAACACACGGGGAGTACTGGGGGACCCACTGACGAGCCGAGCCCCTCGCAGCTGCGCTATGCAGCGGCAGAATATCGGTGAAACACGCTTGTATGGACTTTTGGCTAGTTCTTGTGCTGTTAGTATGGTATCACCTTACCCTAAAATAAACTACGGGCTAACCATAAGCACAGACAGAACGATTTTCATGACCAACCAGCACTAGAGGAGGGGCACGCTACACCTTGTACTAACATGAATGGCACCCGCCTCACATCGGTGAAAAATTTCATCTACCTATACAGCACAATCTCACGGAATGTCACGATCGACGGCGAAGCAGTCTACCAGATCTCTAAAACTAGTGAGGTATTTGGCCGGCCACACGTCTTAGTCCAAGATCACCGGGACCTTACCAGAGCACCAAAATCAAGATGTACAGGAGAGTAGTCTAGACAATACAATTCCACAGGGAGGAGACCTGATCCGTCCACAGTAACCAATCAGTAAACTCAATCACTTCCGTCACGGTTGTCTGCGGAAAGTAAAAGACTGCAGTGGCAAGATGGAATCCGGACTCGAAAGACCGGGAATGGACCGTCGACGTTGCCCGGGTGCTCACCGACAAGGAGGACAAAAACAACTCTATAAGAACCTCGCTTGAGCTTATACAAATCAATCCGCTACCGGGGAGGACCTCACCTTGTGTCGACCGGCCTGCAGGATAGCAGGAATGACTAGACCAGCAATCTATGAAGCTAGTCAGTTCGCTGCTGCCAAGGCCAAAAGAGACGCTCGCAAGCCTCAAACGACTCTGACCCACAGCGTTACCGACCAACACCGCCATAGTGTCCGGCTGTCCACGGACATTCGGCGCACGGATCGGTCTCAGCGGACATCTTCAGGCCCAATGCACTAACGAGACAACAGCCCCACCTACGGCCTACGAAAACTCCTCCACCGTTATATGCGTCGAAAACCCCGCAGCGACCACCACGTCCCCCACTAGTGAGAATACTCCAAATTTCCCGTCAAACATCACCCTCACCAGCACCAACACCACCGGCAATGCGGGTTCGGTCCCAGCATGTCCTAGATACGATCGCACTTTCTCGTCACGCATTGACTTGGTCGGTCACTTTCAAATCCATCGCACCGCGTTTGGCTAATCAAGGTCAAGAGCATCGGCATGCGGCCGTAGCACCCGCCTCAACTGCCTACATTGCCTACACAAATTCAGTCACCGCATGAGCCTGTTCCGCCACATGTCCCCACGTGAAAATCTGCGCTAAAGCACCGTAGACCCTACTTTATCACCGCGCACCTTTCCTTTAACTCATTTACCACGCATGAATCCGTCTCCTTCATCCTCCGTATACAAGGAATACGTTCCTCTCACATAAGTGAAAAGTATGTCCTTGGCTCCTTCTCCCTGTGGCCTCTGTGGTTCTCTAACGCATATGTTGCCCGAGCAGCCTACTATTTTACGTGAAAACTGCGCACATCGCGTTGGGGGCCAAGATCGTGTGTGGCACGCGCAGACGGGTCATTTCAGTTTTTCAGCCGCTACGTCCAATCTCAGCATCAGTTTGTCCGAAATAACAGCGACCCTTGATGGAGGTGGTAAATGCCGTCGGAGTCGATCTGATGGTCCAGGAACAAAAGAGGAGACTCTGCTAGAACGCAGTCGGCAGGATGCATGTTGACGGCATGATGATGTTCTCACTATACGTCGCATCACTTTTTACAAACGTCCCAGTCACCGAGACTGTTGACTACATCTGTGATTTTCTATCTGCCAGTCATCAAGAAATGGGACTGCCGACAAAAACACTCAAGCAACTATTACTAAGATGCACATTAAATGTGCAGTTCCTTTTTGACAACCAACTCTATAGACAAATAGACGGCGTTGCCATGGGCTCGCCTCTTGGACCTCTCTTAGCTGACGTATTCATGGACAAGCTGGACGGATTTCAACTAAGCGATCAGATCAAAAAAGCTTAAACATTATGGTCGCTACGTTGATGGCATCTTTGCGATTGCAACCACAGAAACCGACGTCGCTGCCCTCCTAAATGCTGCAAATCAGGCACATCCGTCGATCAAATTCACGTTGGAGATGGAGTCGGCTGGTTCGCTTCCTTTCTTAGATGTCCTTCTAAACAGGAGATCTGACGGTAGCACCCGAAGGAGCGTCTATCGAAAGAAAACCTGGTCTGGACAATACCCGAACTTCGCTAGTTTCGTACCTCTCCAACATAAACGGAATCTAGTCAGGTGTTTGGCACAAAGGGCTAGAAAAATTTGTTCAACAGATAGTATCGAGGAGGAACTTAGAAAAATCCAGGACTTGCTTCGCGAAAATGGGTACCCTGACAGGTTCATTGCAAAGAACCTTGCCGAACGACTCGCAAAACCCACCACACTAACCGCCGGAAAGAAAACGTTGTTCCTCAAAGTCCCCTTCCAAGGAGATGCTGCAGGTGAACTCCTAAGAAGACGCCTTGACCAAGCTGTCTCGGGAACCTTCCCAGCAGCAAGGGTTCGCATATCATTCTCTACTAACCCTATTCTACGCGGAGAAAGCAAGGATAGGCTGCCACCTCAGACCGCCTCAATGTGCATCTACTCATTCACTTGCTCCTGTGGAGCAGGTTATATTGGTCGTACGAGTCGGCGCCTTTCCAAAAGTATACGAGAGCACCTTCCCGCATGGCTGGCAAAGGGTGAAACTAGGAGAATAGACAGCGCCATCCTTGCGCATGCAGTGGACTCAGGGCATCGTGTGGACTCCACTGAAGCATTTCGTGTGATTTACAAGGTCCCCTCGAGCTACCCTAAGCTACTGGGCCAGCGCCTGTTAGCAACAGCAGAAGCGGTCGCCATAAGGTTACGAAAACCGACCCTATGCGCCCAGAAGAACCTTGTTCAAGCTCCGCGCTTACCGTGGTCAAAGGTTACTAACCACATACAACTTTCGGCGCTCTTCCGCTCTTGCCGAGCCTGTAATTTAAAACCTAACTTTTATCGATTTTTGTTTCACTCACTGTATCCCGCCCTATGTAACTGTATTGGCCTGATGAGAATTTACCGAAAGGAACGTTCACTCGCCATTGTCTCTTCTGACACCAAATTGTTGAAACGTTCGAAAATCAGGATAAGATCTGGGATATGTTCCCTAAAATGCAGACTGGCGCGTAAGACGTGACCGATATAAGCACAGCCAACGGGGTTCTGCGTAAGATCCTATCAATGAACTGCAGGAATATCTGGGAGGCACTTATGATAACAAATGGTGCACAAATAAACCCAAACAGACGAAAATGAGTTACCATGACCGTTTTAGACACGTCTTTAGGTGGAATTGGAATTTGAGGAGATGATTTAACCAAAAAGAGTCACTGCAAAGTTCTAAAGATGAAGAATCCTGCATCGATCAGGCATTGTGGCATTGTTCAAGGCACTTTGATCACTACAAGAACGCCACTCCTTCGTCTGCTATTTGGGAACCATGTGCAATGGAGGTGCTTATGAATCGTCAGATGGTCTATTTATTCCTGGTCGCAACAAGCTTTGTCTGCAGCAAGAATAGTGAGATCAAGGCAGCGGGACGTGTGAAAATAGCAGGGCCAGACGTTTTGATGTGATAAACAACATCATGTGACAATGGAGAATAGGAAACGTGGGGGTTGTTGAGGCTGTGAAATTCGGTCAGAAGTTTCTGGGCTTGACAGTCGGGGTCTGGATCAAGGACAGACAGTTGACTAGAATGCAGAGGTGTAATAGAAGCCGTTAACAGGAAGGGCAATGGTCCGATCATGAAAGTAGAGTTGCCTACAACTAACCAAAGGGTAACACGAGGATATGGGTTCAGCACCAAGTATGGCGGCTGGAACATCGGTCGCCACTAAGGTTAAGGATAAGAACCGCTTAGGTCAGATATTCAAATGAACAGAGTGAAATTTAAATGTGGTGATTTGGAAGAAATTTACAGCCTGAGAGAAAAAGGTAATAACTGAGGCAGTGCTGGTCAGCAGGGGCAGGAGGGATGGCGCTGATTTGAGCATCAGCGTCGGCGAAGAAACGCCTGCCATTCTTGCTACCGCAGACACAAAATGCACAACCGGTAGTGTTGTTTGAGAGGTTGGCCACGTCTAATCTCCGGCCGAGGGGTTTCCCTGGGCTAATCAAGATAATTAAGGGGGGGGGGGCACATTGATGTGTCCTATCACCAAAATTCGAAGGATAACAACAGACTTCAACATTTGGAAGTCGGCAACGAGAACGGTGATGGTTGGATGATCGACAAGGCAGGAGGGTGATTTGCGTCCGCTGAAGCTTCAGAAAAGCCGTCTCGTCCTCTACGGCTGCTCTCTGCATCATCATAAATTGCTCACCGTCGACAAGGACGAAGTGGGAAGCGGGGTGACTATAGCAGCTGCACCTTCAGTACACTTTCCACTATTTCATCCAGTCGTGAGGCTGAGTGATTCTCAGAATCAGACGACTGTTGGCAGAAGTTTCAACAATGTTTCCTTGAACAGTTTATCACCGAGGTTGAGCACACCGCAGGGTGTACATCCTCTTCAGAAGCTCGGTTACTTTGAGATCGCCTAGATATCCATTGCGTGGCAGCCGGTGATAGCATTGGTAATCGAATACAGCATGTAGTTCACGGAGTGCGGCCTTTAGCCGCGTGCACTTTTAGCCGACCGGACCACACCTGAGGCAACACCTATAAAAAACAGAGCCCGGACAGGACTGTGCAGTTTCGTGTCTCCCTCGCTAATGCTCTCAGAGAGAAAACCTGATTCAATGCAAATAAAGTAGTGTTTATATGCATTATGCCAAAATTCGAAGAAGGTGATAGCGACAGCATGAAGAGATTAGACGGGAACATCAAATAGTTTGTTAAATTTAGGTACAGGAAGCACGATACTTGGGAAGATCTGCAAGAATGTATAAGTATCAGCGTGAGAAGTGCGCAAATTACCTCAGCGGTGCCCAGTATAAATCGCTGATGCAGAAAACGACGAGAGAATCTGGCTTAAAATTGGAAGTCACCAATGCGTTAGACGCAATGCTTACGACTTAGTGGCGAATGTAATTCGAATGCGATATAATGACTGATGTGTATCAGTCTGACCGACAGGGGCGGGAAAATCCAGTAATTAAATGAAATCAAAATTCAGAAAACTAAAGACTTGGTTGCTACGCGCATGGCGCTAGTTCAGCCAACGAATTGCTGGTCGACGTTCCCATTGGCTGGCACGCTTACTTTGTCATTCGATTCTCTTGTTACTTCTGGCTTGTGTCACTTTTTACCGTTAATCAATCAGCATCAATCAGCATGTTGGAAGTAAATGGCAGAAGCCATAGGACTCCATTTAAGATGACGTATAGTTTGGTGGGGGAGAAAGTGAAACAGTAACCCAAGTATTACAAGAAGCTGACCGGGCTTGTAGGGGAACCCCATGTGCAGTACTGTAAAGCGTTCCGAACAAGGAGACGCCGAAGAGCAGTTGACCTCACTCGCTCGAGAGGACACATATGTTGGGATCGCACTGGGAGTGCGACTGTAGACCACGTGTTTAGCCGTCATGCTAGAAGTCAAATGATTGGGGACACACTTGTTGTTTGGGGACCGACAGCAAGTTTCGGAGAGAATGTCTTGAAAAGATGAACTCCTACTTTTTTGAGTCCCCGGGACTGCACTAGAAGCTGCCTTTGAATTAGTCGGCTGTTTCAATATCTTAGGGATAGATGATGTGCCCGGTAGGAATATGGCTGCAAGCGATCTACTGTTCGACTAAGATTCCTCAAGACTAACTGCAGTCAAGTTCCCTCCAGAATGATACGAACTATGAGAAACTGAGGTCACAAGTGTCGTCGAATACGATTCATTCGGTAGAATTGTCATTAGCGTCAAACGGCTATGGATTTTCGAAGCCGTGAACTTCAGTATATTTCTCTGCCGGAATGCAATATCAGGAGACCCGGGACAAGCAACTAATGACACGCTTCCCGTCACATCCACTTTTGGCAGAATTGTTTAAATGTCTACTGCAGAAAACAGGGTGACCAACCGTTGTGCCTTACGGGCTCTCTCTCGAGCCTAACTGGCAGCCTCACAACGGCGCATAATATATGGGCAGTATGTTATTACAGACAAAGACAAGGGAGAGTGGAATGGCCATTTCTGGCTTATTAGTCGTCGTCAGCTAGTCGTGCCCAACTCCGAAGTGTGGAACACCTGGGACTCGAACTCGCCACCTGTTCGTTGGAACATACTGCCTATACCATGCACCGCTGTGCGGCTGCTGGTTGAGCTCGAGAGAGAGCCCATAAGGCACAACGAAAAGAATGAGTTCCGTAAGAACGATCGGTAAGCGCCACCTACCATTGTATATCTCCACTCGTAACCGACAGGGCAACGGGCTCGTGGTCCAATGGCTAGGGCCTTAGACTTCTAAGTAACAGGTCGCGTGTTCGAGTCTCGGGTGTTCTACATTTCGGGGTATGGTATGCCTGGCTGAGGACGGTTAATAAGCCATAAATGGCCATTCCAGTCTCCCTTGTGTTTGTCGGTAATAACAAACAGGATGACCAGTAAGAGGGCATTGAGGTTAAGTCCAGTTCAGTTTATTAAGTGAAGTACCTTATTTGGAACGCACCACTGGCTGCAGTGAAAAAAAGAAAACTAGGTTGGCTGAAGTAATCTAAACCGTAGCATAGCAATATGAAAGATAAGGCGTAAGTCTTAAGGAGATGTCTTGATCTCTCATCGCGTTAGTCCACTTTGGAACATAAATCTGTTAAGGTTTCTTCTAAAGCTTCCCGTGGCCGGTTGCTCCGCGGGTTATCTAGGAAAAAGACCAAAATCCCAGCCTCCATCGAGTGACGTTACTTGGGTAGTCTCTGTTCTGGGGTTGGAGTGTGTCCGAACAAATGTTTTTTCGTTTGGTTGTTCTGAACAAGATTTGTGCATCTACTATCAACTGCCATTGTTAAGATGACCCTATAGGAGTATTTGTTCAGGGCACCTCTTCTAACGCCTTTCACACTGAGGGGCTGACCAGTGCTGTCGCTATCCGTGATTGGGGAAAGATCTCAGACGGCCGCCGAACTCAGATGTGAATAACGGCTTTTTTAAAGGAATAGCGATTCGAATTATTCTGGGCCGCTAAGAGAACAGCCTGCTGTCTTCTCTGTAGGACTATGCAAAAGTAAATAGGCGGAAGGAGAATGGGAGCAGAATTACAGGGTGTAAGGTAGCACAGCACTCCAGATAAACTCATCTTCTTTAACCTGTCTGTCGAGGCGGTTGCTAGGACGGCTCACTAGACAGAACCTAATCTCGGGGAGTCATATATGAGAGTCGGGTTTCAAACAGGGGTCAAGCGGGGCAGTCACAGTTTCATTGATGCGACCTTCGAAGCATATACAGTTCATCTCCTAAGCTTGACAAGAGCTGTCCACTCAGAAGCTAAGTCCGGTACCTTCGGTTCTGAATAGCAGTGCACCAACGACTACCACCCCTACATACCACTTATTCCGAAAAGGTGGACGATGTAAACAGATGATTAAATTGACCATTTCGATGTATTGTTTGATAAATTCCCAATGAAACTCACCACTACTTTGGACCTCTAAAGTTTGTCTAGCTGAACAATTTCTTGCGTTTTACTTAACTTGCTACCTATTTCTCCTCGTAAACCAGTTTCCCTGTTCGCCAGTGTCCCTACAGTACCTAATAAAGACCTCAAATAAAATACTGATACGGCTTAGCAGAAGTACTTAAGCTGTTTCTTATGGTACGTTCATTGTATAGTGAATTAAAGCCAAATTTGAGACAAACTTTTTCCAGACACTTTTCTTTGTTTTAACGCATTACTTAAATCAATATGGCCCAACTCGCGTATCTCCATTATTTCAAAAAATCTTAATACGGCTCTGCGGGGCGGGAAGGGCTTTTTTGTGCACCGCCTCAGCAACCGAAAATTTTTAAAATTCCGAATACAGAGGCTTAAGCTTTGGCTTAGCTGGTTTAGTAAATGGCATCAGCCAAGCTGTATGATACTGTAAGTCTAGTTATATTTTATCAATGTGTTTTTGGCAGATGGAAACTCGTTTTCGTAGCCCTGGTGTGCCCCGAAAGCCTGTTTACGTCGAAGAAACTGCAACAGCTCTTGCAAAGAAGTCTAAAAGATCAAAATCAAGCGTACGATTTTTTTATATCGTCTTACGATTTTCACGTTTAGGAGACCACCCTTCGGAGTCAAGATTCTGTCATGAGACTTGAAAAGAGGGTATGTAACGTGAATTTGTTTCATAGCTGCAACAGGATAAGGAGAAAATGAATGACCCAATAGCGGATTTAAATAAGCGCTGGTCCATTATAGCTAAAACTCAAGAATCGGTTCGCTCAGATAACGGCTAACGAACTACTTTTTAGATGACTAAACAGGAAATTCTGAACAATTATCGTCTACTGATGAACGACCATCTAAGACTTGAACGTTTTCTGTCGATAGTTACGAAGGACAACGAAATGGTATGTTATGGACTTATGGACAGCCCTTCGAATGTTTAATTGATTATCGTCTGCAGCTTTCTAAATTTATGCCCATATTTATAGGAAGTCATGAATTCAGAGCTGTAACGAATATGTTTTTACCTTTTAAGGTTGTTTAATGCATGTTTAATTTTTTAAATCTTATATCATTGATAGCTCCATAGGTTCCGTGACAAATGGCAAAACAGACCCTGAATACGGTTAGTGGGCTTAAGATACGAGGCAAAGACCTTAAAATCGTGAAATGAGTTATACGGTTGTCAGATATTAGATGATAGTAGCCGTCGAGCGAAAATTCGTGACGGCTCACAGCCCTTTGGTCATTTTTAACGGTAACGGGCGACCACGATTCGACTGAGTCATCTGGGAAGCTAGCCGTTTTAAGGTTTGTGTTAGATAAGCGACTGATAAAAGAAGTCGCAGGAGGATAGGTGCAAGAAGTACAACCTCGCGGCCGTGCCCGGTTACTAAAACAGTTAACGAAGGCTACCAAATCCATAAGTAAATGCCATACCTCATAGACAGATTTGCTGTGTTTGGCGTACAAAACGTCGAAGAATACAAAAAATAAAAAAAAACATCTTAACAGACTCCAGTGACCTAAGTCATCCTCAGTACCCGTTAGCGCTATCAGCTGAGTATCCCCGGAAAATTCTTAGATTGATAGACCTTTGTCAAGGGTTTGTGAGAGCACGCTCACAGAACATCGATTGTCGAAATGTTTGTTCAGTGAGAGAGCATGAGAAAAAATCGTGGTTATGCGGATTTAGATAACGCTCTGGAGAGGTTGTTTTGCATAAGTGTTAGTCATTGTCGCGTAGCTTCTAGTAGTTGAGTGCTTTAATAGACATCAAACGCATCAGAAGGGTCAATGGACAAGACGGTGGACGAGCAAACCCCAAATCTATCTTAAGTTCATTTTCGTTCCTGTTATTTGGAATCTTTCCCAGAGGTAATCTTCGTGGATGGACGCTCGTTGGTTTTTTTTATGATACCAGGGTGGTTTGCGACCCTGTGTGAGCCCAAATGGTGTATGAGCAAGCTTTGATGAAGCATAGTCTTTTAAGATATCAGCAAATGAAGAATGTAGTGTAGTAAAGTGGATAAAAGCAAGAAATTGCAAAGTTTAATTTCAACTGTACAAAGTCAGCTAGTGGCATTGGTAGGTCTGTGATGTCCACAGACCGACGAAAGCTTTAAAAATAATCAGCCCCAAAAGGGGTGATTGAAGAGCGTCAGCTTTACCGAACACCTACTTTAAATCAACAAAGCGCTTTCACGTTTCACGTCGTCAAGTCATATTTATTATTATTTCGCGTTTTGAACCATAAGACCTCGGGAAAATTCCCAGAATGTCAGATCGCTTCCGCTCAAGGTTTTTGCTAAGGTAAACCCACCTCTGAAAAGATTGGACGAGAGATGAAAACCCTCAGGGATTTGGATTTATCTAGGAATGTGAAGTAGAATGGCGTAATTTATGAACTATCAGGACACTATGAGAGCGAAATCAAAGCAGATGCTGCCGCAGAACAAAGGTTCGTTTAATTGTGTTTTGTTGGATTAACCAAACACGAGTACATATAATTTTGAGTGGTAAAAAAACCTAAAACAAAGACAGAAAACCTACCGGAACCGACATTGCTTTCTAGGTTCATAAACGACACCCAACCACCATTATTTCAAGTACTGGGCCTCCGAGGTATGATAGAGTAATCATAGTCTATGGGGAAGCGTTAAAATTTGTCTACCATATGCGTAATCCGTCCCATTTTTTTCATATATATATCTGCCATCGTCTTCGTTGGAGGCGCGGGTTAGTGCAGGGCTAACCTCAAACAAACTGAATAGGGGGTGAAAGAGACCGGTTACATGTAGGGTCTGTTACTAGGAGAAATGACCTAACTTTAAGACAGGCGCTTCACAGCTGTGGCCTCTACAGAATATCTAAAATTTCCAGGAAAAAATTAGTTGAAAGGAACTTTGCTTACTAACAAGAACCATTAATGCAAAAATTGTCTCAAACAACGAGTCATTTTTACGACGCTGTTCAGGACCTAATTTTAGACAACATTATTCCCATTACATAGCTTGGGACAGTGCATTATCAAAGAAGCCAATAACCAAACTTTTTAATTTTCAGGCACGCAATCGGCTGGAATCCGATCTGCTAGATGCTATGATGTGTATCGAGGATCTTAAGCAGGCCCTGGAGATTCGCATGGCAAGAGTACGTGGTAAACTCGTTTTCATCACCCACATTTAACAACAACTACATCCACCTAACATATTTGTGAAAAACTCCGCGGCATTGTGGGATTCGGATTCAGGACAGCAAGGGAAATGGGTCACATTTACCAAAACACCAGGTGCTCAAAGTCTGGCATTGTGCATGGCTGATGGCAGCTAGTAAATCAGAAGTGATCATCTCAGACTCCCTTATATTCGTCCTTGCCTCTATCCTGCATCTGCTACCATTCACTATGCGGCTGCCCATAGGAACTCTATATTTAGCCCTCAGGCCCAGCAGGGCGATCGTGTCCCGTAACTCGATTGGTAAACACCCTTCCCCAGATAGTTGATATTCCTGTCCGCAATCAGCAGGTCAACGAGTTCATGGCCCAATGGCACAGTTTTGTATTTAATGACAAAATTTTTAGTTTGAATCCCAGGTGCTTTGAACCTGGGGCTTTGTACGGCTGGCAGGTGGTGGATAATAAGCCAGTAAGGGTCATTCCAGTCGTTTCCTTGTCAATGCCTCCTCCCTATACAGTAGGGATCTATAAACCCCCAATGTCTCTGACACTTCTTCAGGCGTCCGAACTCTATCGCTGTCGGCTACCGTTTCCACCTCTTGATGCTCAAATTTTTCTGGCTGTCCTAACTGTTCCTTATCTTCTGAAGTAGGTGAGCTAACTCATGAAAAGCCAACCGGAATTCGAAATACGTTTTCGTTTCGAAAAGATTAATTAAGCAGGGTTGGAAGGCTAATAATCATGCATTATAATTCTATGATAATTTGGCTACCTCAGGATGCCGGCTTTTGGACGAAGTTCTTTCCGGCCTTATGCAAAAATTATAGTCTGCAGAAAATGACTACGTATGTGGCACCCATTTTTCTCATTGATTTAACGGGCCATTAAAAATTCAATTGCATTTCGGGGAAAACATCCATAAAAATATTAATTCTCTTGCTCTTTCAGTGCAAAACCACGTCTTATTCTAATTTTACAACTCTGTTTAATTAGTCTTTTTGAAACGAAAACGCATTTCGGAATTTCGGTTGACACTTCATGAGTTAGTCCACCTGCTGTATATATTTATTCAACCGATCTAATGGCTTACTGAAATAAACAAGCTCCATGTGGGTAGCAAAGATCACGAACAGGTGGCCAACTACCAGGCCGAAGTCGGCCTAGGTATAGTAGCAGAGGGGAGAGAAGACGGAGAAGGCGCGTAGATTAATACAATACTGTTTTGGGCTTACTCTGTTTTCACACAACCAGTTGTAATCCTGACCATTAGCTGGGATCAGAAACTCAAACATGCGCTCGTACCTGTTGGAGATGGTCCACAGACGGGGTGGTCTAACAATGGACTGGTAAAATATATGTATACGTATGTATGCAAATCAATATATATGTTCTTTACCAATTAGCTATACAAGGTAATCAACCAATAAAAGCTTTTAATCATGCCATTTGTATGCTCATGTTTTTTACTATTTTATTTTTTTTTCAGCGCCGGAAAGTTGTAAGTTTTTATATTTAGTGTTCCCTTTCAAAATTTTCCCGTGTGTTATGCAGTCTTCGTTCACATTCCCGACGTGTTGTCTTTTGTTTATGCCAGCGAGTCCTAGCTGCTTGGTAGGCGTTCACCATTCGTAAACTTGTTAATCCTTCATGAAAACGCATCTCCCCTAACATTTTTCTCATCAATTGGACACGCATTTCTGCAAATTAAGAGACCATGGCAATTAAAATATGACCTGCTAGGGGTTTGCGTCCGGTGGCGATTGCCTGCTCGGGTCATAAATAAATCTCAGGAAATTGATGTCTTTTTGTCATTCTGCCTCTGATAGGGCTATTATTGTTGTTACGACTGAGCGTACGCACATCACATCATGTGATAGGAGCGCCGACGCAGTATGTCGACTGTGGCACGCTATGTTTCGTATCGCCCACTGTGCCTTCCGCTGCCCCAAGTTTGCCTACGGCGGTGTTAGTTAACGGTTGCACAAAATGAACGTCCAGACGTCCGCCTCCTTTCGCGACTACGCTAACAGCTGTAGCGATAGCATAAGCAATAAAAGTGGGTGTGACGGCCAGTTCATAGTGCCCTATCCTGAATTCTACACAAAATCCCATTACCACACAACCATCCGGTCTTCTAATCCTTGTAAGGGGGAAGACGGCTAGGGGGACAGTTACGAACATATGTCCACGGAGGGATCAGTGGAGAAGAGACGAGCGGTCTAGTTATGAATTTTAAAGTCTGTGAGCTGGATGGAGTGTACTTAACAGCAAATAAATACTCCCACCCATCAGCTCCTCAAAAAGCGTCTGGGATAAACTTTCAGTGAACCATCCATATATATGCTATCCGGAATACGAGTGTTCTCCCGTTGTTCTGAGTGAGAAAACTATAACCCGCGAGTGCAGGCCTATTAGGGGTTGCCTCTGCATACACTCACACGGATTGGTAGCTAGATTTGCCCACGTAGTTGAAATTCATAATAGGTGTTCATAAATGTTACCGACACTCGCATCAAATTTGCTTGTGATGTTCACGCAAACCACCATTTTCATCCTCCTTTTCCAGACTCACAGTCGAGTGGCGAGTTGATTGGCATTCAAATTTAAGGCGACATTGCCTCCGATACATAAGTTAACAGAGCTGAGGAATATCAGAAGTACTCTTAGCGGTCCTACATTTCCGTCAGTGTGCAAGGCAAATTTTCAATACTAAACAGAATCAATTTCGATTAGGAAACCGTATCAAAAAGCTGTCTATATGAATCTTACACGTGCGTTAACGGTACTTATGCTGTTCGCGCTCAGACCGCTCCCCGTCTAGCGAACTCTGAACAATTTACCGCAGTGTCGCAAGACTACTTAGTATTCGCGCTCAGATATATTCATCTGATGCAAAGGGGGTCATTCTTGAACACATTGTTAGGTCACTCCTTTGATTAATACACCTCGACCTTCCCCAATCACGAGGATCTTCCCAATACAATTAGTATCTGCCCTCTTTACAACAAATCGCGCATATTGATTATGACTATCAATTAGGGTCGTCGAATACTGCGCTCATTCGACCATAACTGGTCTGCTGGTGGACACTGCAAGTGAATTTAGATTTTAGCAACACAAGTCCTAGATTTTAGCAGACGTCCACTGTTAGCGGTCTGCTGCATTAGTTAGGTAGCACAACCGCACAGTCAATTTAGAATCGCGTTCACTGCAGTCTATTCCGTAAACAATACCACACGGCTACTGGTGTTCTTGTCCGTCGATCTCTTAGTCAAGTCACACGCATGCCGGTTAAACGGTTGCCAAGTTCAGCTTTGTTCGTTAAATCTGACTTTGGATGACAGAATAGACTACTGGGCCGAACAGTAGTACCTAGGGACTGTATGGGAAATCTAAATTCAACGGAGTCTGCAGATCCTCTGGAGATGTAGTGTTTCTTGTCAGCATTCCTGTCGGCCGAAACTGCGCTCACTCACTTCCACTTCCGCCCACTAACTGAACTAGATTTTGTATTTAACGACAAGGGGGATCAGACCGGGTTATTAAATTCAGCTGCAGACTTTTTGCCGACGAAGATGAACTGACTACTTAGCGTCACTCGAGGGGCCCGAACGGAACCTGTGCCGCTTTTCCTTGTGCCTAATGATGGGCTACAATGAAGCTTTTAATTTAAATGCCTAGTAGACGCAATCACACAGCGCTGTTAACCGGTTCCTTTAACAAGCTGGCTTTCCGTTAGTCCCTGGCAGGTTTTACAGTCAAAGACTTGATCCCTTATATAATTAAGGCGCATACTGCGCACAGGCATTTGGGTGTGACGAATTTGAAAGTGATTCTATTTTAAATTTAACCTTGCTTACCGAACTCAGACGTTCTGTAGCGCGCAATCCCATCCTCACTATTTGTGCAAATTTCAACAGCTTGAAAGTTTTCAAAAGTGATCTGCTTTGGGTTATAACTCATTTTAAAAGCACCAAGATCTGACATAAGGACCTTTGAGCCTAAACACGAAACAAAATACGTATACAAACCGGAACTCAGCTGATCTTTACACATCCGAAAATTGTGAAGATGACCTTGCTTGTTACTGCGTTATGTATCTAGAACGCAATTGAGAGACAGAAAGACCTGCAACTCCTGGACTCCACTTGAAGTTGCCGCACGACCCACATTAATGGGGCTGTCACCGCCTCCTCTGGGATTCTCGAGGGTGATGACTAGATGCAATTAACACCACTCCTCCCCCCCTTCCCCGCACAACCCACAGAATGAGGCTGTCACCCACTGTCAGCCCAGTGTCGTGCAGCCGGGCTTGAGGAAGCCCGTCACGGCGACCAAATACTGTAGCTTCAGGTCTACTTCATTCTCAACAGAATTAACAAGAAAAGCTGAGAGTGGCTGAAAGGCGCCAACGAGAAACATCAGATCAGTGTCAAACACGACTCCGTGCTCAGAACTCATGCAACTGCAATCACCTTGCATTCCGGCACCACCGATCAGATGATTATTGCTTGAGTCAGCATGTTTAGTATTGGCACTATGACTACCGTATGCACTTATTGCCAGGTTTTGAAATCTAACGGAGAAACTAAAGGAATGTACTACGCCACCGAAAAAATTAAACTGCCTGACCTTTCAGAACTACCGGAGCCATCAAATACTTTGCTTGCTGGAAAGACCGCCGAATCAAAGCACTTCCTATCTCACATCAGGAAGTACGATTTATGCTTCCAAATGACATCGTCCGGCGCGGATATCGTCAATTTATGCCGACTTTCAAAGTGAAAGGACAAATTTATCATACAGTCGGCTCCCTTCTTCCGCCCCAAGACGGTCAACATAAATTTCTACAAATGTACTTCATCGATGATGGCAATGACAAATTGAATGCACGCTGCGGAATTTCCACCGGCATAAAACGGTCCACCGTTTCTCAAGCGCAAGACCTTCCTCATGAACACAATAACTTAGTGCGTTTGTTCAAAACCGCAATTACCACGATGCCATCTGATACGCACAATAATGTTATTGATGCAGACAAAACGCCTGCTAGACAACATGGGCGATGATCCAATGCTCCAATTATAGTCGAAGTGGCAACTGCTATAGTCCGAGACCAGTTTAAACGGAGAGATATTGTGCTTCATCGGCGGAACAATCAACTGACAAGAGTTGCAGAAACTCATCGGCTCTACGATGCCTTGCAGTATCCACTTATTTTTTGGGATGGTGCCGATGGATATCACTTCAACGTTAAGAGGATAAATCCAGCCAGCGGTGAGGAAATGCACATGAAATGCAGCGCAATGAACTACCGCACCAACCGACTAATGATTCGGCAGAATGTAAGTAATCCCTTTTCGAAATGCCGTCAACTGTTTCACCAGTACATTGTGGATATGTATGCAAAAATGGAAACAGAACGTCTGCTTCTCATTCGCTTGAATCAGACCAAACTGCGTTCTAAAGAATACATTTTACTTGCTTGCTGTAGTTGTAAACTACGGTAATACAATTAACGTTGTAAGGCTAACAACTTTGTCATCCACATCCACAGGCAGTTCACGTCATATGTTTGAGTACGCTCGAGGTACAATTACTCATGTTTGCCAGTACGGACGCGTAAGCCTATTCCGTACACTCAAATGCAATCCCGCTTGGGGTGACATTAAACAGTTTTTGCTTCCTCGGCAATCGCCGGTGGATAGGCATGACATCACAGCACGTGTTTTCAGGCAGAAGCTGAAATCGCTGATGAAATTCATGGTGAAACACGAGGTGTTTGACCCTGTGCGCCGCTGGACGTATTTGATGGAGTGGCAACAGACAGAACTGTCCCACGCACATATCTTGATCTGGTTCTATAACGAGATCACCTCCAACGAAATCGACGATGTAATATGCGCTGAATTACCTGACACCGACGTCGACAAGGATTTGCATGAAGTTGTGGCGAAGAATATGATATATGGACCTTGCGATATGTCGAATCCTGATTCCCCGTACACGATAGACGGAAAATGCTATAAGAGATATCCTCGGGCATTCGTATGCAACACAGGTACCGGAAAAGATGAAAATCCTCTACGCCGAAGACGATCAGCGGAAGACGACGGCAAATTGGCAACCGTTCAAATGCGAGCCAGTGACATAGAAGTACAAGTAGATAACCGCTGGGTTGTTCCATATTCGCCTTTTCTTTTAAAAGCATACAAAGCGCACATAAACGTGGAATACTGAAATTCCGTGGAATCATTTAAATACATTTATAAGTACGTGAACAAAGGCAGCGACATGACCGTTTTTGGCCTACAACCCGGAAGGAGAGAAAGGAATACGCACGTACAAGTCGATGAAATCGCACATTTTCAGGCTGCAAAATATATCAGTAGCAACGAAGCCGTATGGCAAATTCTCCCATTTCCCATAAATGAAAGAAGCCCAGCTGTTGCTCACTTGGCAGTACACTTAGGGAATGGGCAATGCGTTTAATTTACAGCTGCAAAGGTACAACAAGTTGCCTTAGGTCCACCGGCAACAACATTAACTGCATTCTTAACGTTATGCCAAACTGACGCGTTTGCGAAAACACTGCTTTCTTCGGAAGTGTCTACGAATTACACATGGAATGCGTGCAGAAAATCTTTCGTACGACACAAACAAGAGCGAGTCGACGGACACCCCGGCATATTCAAAGGAACTGCGATAGGCAGACTGTACACCGTGCATCCAAATCAGGACAAGTGCCTCTTCATTCGCATGCTGTTGGTGAATGTGCCCGGTCCAACTTCTTTCCGGCAATTGAAATCTGTCAATGACGTTACACATGCCACTTTCCGCAGTGCATGTCCGGCTCTCAATTTATTGGAAACAATCAACACTGGGATGTATGTATTAATGACGCCTGCAGCACTTCACATCCACACCAAATCCGTGTATTGTTTGCAATCATACTGACTGCCTGATCGCCTTCATCTCAAACAGATTTACGGGAGAAATGGAAATCGCACATGGCTGAAGACATCTTCTGGCGACCACGCAAGAAAAATTCGAATGTGGATTTCTCAGCAGAAATCTAGAACGAGGCTTTAATAATGATTGAGGATATGTGCGTAGAAATCGTGAGCAAAAGTCCTTGGTTAACTGGGTGTATCTCATCACCAAACCGACCTCCTGCTGTTTCCTTAGATGTGGATTCTCCCAGTGAGCAAAACTGCAACTCGGCTGAACTTCTGACATACCTGTAGTCAAACATTCCTAGGATAACACAGGAGAAGACTGGGATTTACGATCAAATAATGCGGAATGTCAATAACGGGGTTGGAGGAGTCTTCTTCTTAGATGCACCAGGTGGAACTGGCAAAACGTTCCTTCTAAGGCTGATTCCGGCAGCAAGACGATCCAGGGTAGCTAGAACCCCGCTACCTGGCGGAAGAACTGTTCTTTCAGCTTCGAAATTGCCGTTGAGAATCCAATTCATGGAAACCACCACGTGCAACATTTCCGAAGCATCCGACATGGGAAAAGTACTGCAGAAATGCAAAGTTAGTGTTTGGGATTAATGCACAATGACATACAGAAAACGCTCGAGGCCCTTGATCGATCATTGTAAGTTTACGCGAAAATGGTAGATCATTTGGAGATGTATTGCTACTGCTTGGGGGAGACTTCAGGCAAGCACTGCCCGTAATTCCTCGATCGACACCAGCGGACGAAATAAATGCCTGCCGGAAATACCCATATTTGTGATGCCAAATTCAGACGGTAAAACTGACCACAAATATGCGTGTCCAGCTGCACAACGACTGAAATATTATCACACCAATTGCTGACAATTGGAAACGGAACGGTGCCACTTGATCCCATTTCAGGACGCCTTTCTCTACCTTTTACCCTCGGCAATTTAGTGTCGTCAAAGGAAGAATCGGTTGAAAAGGTGTTTCCCAACATTCAGACGAATTACACCAATCATGATTGGGTGAGCTAACGAGTTATTCTTGCGGCCAAGAAAAAAGATGCCTACCGACTTAACCATATTATTCAGTCTAGGATCCAAATCGAGGCAGTGACATGCACGTCCGTCGACACTGCTGTGGAATCAGACGAGGCAGCTAGTTATCTAACGGCATTTTTGAATTCACTTGACCTGCTAGGGATACCGCACCACCTACTGCAATCGGAAATGGGCTTGCCGATTATCATGTTGCGTAATATCAACTAGCCGAAACTTTGCAACGGCACGCGGCTTGCAGTAAAACCATTACTGAGCAACGCCGTGGAAGCCACTGTCTTGACAGGACCCTTCAAAAGTGAACATGACCATATTCCTCGCATTCCACTGATTCTGACCGATATGCCACTTAAATTTAGGAGAGTGCAATTTCCGATTCGATTGGCGTTTGCAATCAGAATCAACAAAGCTCAGGGTCAATCTTTCGAATTGTGCAGTTTGAATCTGCAAACGTTTTGTCTCTCATATGGTCAACTACATGTTGCGGCATGTAGTCGGCAACATAGTCGGCAAACTAGATAATCTCTATATCTGCACGGACAACGCAACGACAAAAAATATTGTATACCTACAAGCATAATAAACTCAAGCATATTAGGAACGCGCCCTCTTTCTCTTGTCTTTCTTCTTCATTTCACCACACTGAGCCACAGCAACGCGTGGCCGGGTTCAGCTATAGTTGATAATCAATATTCTCGATCACAACCTACCGGGAAATGAGCCCGTGGTTCAGTCATATAGTGTTAACCATAATGACTAAAGATTTGGGGTTCGAATCCCATGCGCTCTACGCTTAGGGATGGGTATGGCTGGCTGATGACGGCTAGTACCTCAGAAATGACCTTTCTGGTCTCCATTGTATTCGTCGTTATCTTATTCCTGCATATACTACTAGTCACTGTGCGACTGCCTGTAAGAACTGCAAATTTAACCCCAAGGCGCAACGTGACGGGCATGTCTTGTAACGTGATTGGTGAACGCCTAGTTGATATTCTCGATCGCAACCGACAGCTCAACAGGCTTTGTGGCTCAATGATACGGCGTTGTAGTCGACGTTCAAATATTGCCGGTTCGAATCCCGGATGCTTTGAACCTGTGATCCGGTATAGAGGGCTTATGACGGCTAATGGGCATTCCGGTCTCCCTTGACTTGTCGGTAACCCATTATAGTGTTGTTTGTCCGCTACTTTGTTAAGGAAGTATCCATACCCACTACTCACTTGAATACTTTCGGGCCGTGAAGGAAAGTTCAGTTTGTGGATTGTTTTTTCCGAACCCACTTCTGCCCAAAACACAGGCAGTGGCAGGGTCAAGGTTTATTCAGTAGCAGCACCACCTGTCAAAGCAGACTATGAAAGCTATACAACCCCTTGTAGCTACGATCTTCCCCATCTTAGAGGTAAAAATTTATCTTTTCTTGTTATAACCTTGTGAACCTTAATTTCATTTGAAATATGGAACTCAAATTTCAGCTAAAGTTCTCCCGCCATTATTTAAGAAACTGCTAACCCTTTTCTGCAGGCCAGAAGTTTTATCCTCCTTGTAAGTCAAAAGCTCTCTGACCCAGGCCGCGAGCCTACGGTCTGTCGGCGGAGTTTAGAAATATCCGAGATCTTGTGAGACTAACGTTCACCTTTCCGTTCTAAATTCAAGATGGATATTTTCACTTGATACATTTATTAAGTATTACCAAACTCTAGAGTGAATAAGATAGTATTTTTGAGATTAAATGTATTGTGGAATGCCCATTATTTACCATCCAACAGCCTGCGGTTGGGCCCTCGTGGTGTGGGATTAAAGGCTTAGCAAGGTCAACCGACCGATACGCATCACGGCACACAACAAAAGGGCCGATTTTCTTTAGGCAGAGTGCCCACGAGAGTCTTGCATCCCTTAGTTTTTTTATATACCACCATTCGGCCTTTATGCGTATACATCAACGACAGCACCCGTCTACCAAGTTTTTTCAGTCAGCCTGCCTGAGACGACTCATCCTGGAATTTACCACATAACCGAATTTTACAAATGATTGGTCAAGATCTGCCTTCTTGGGGAAATGCTGAAGGTGATAAATGACCAACCGCAATTCTGTTTATCAATACGGAATTTCTGTATCGATAGGGATACTGTGTGCTGTCGTAATCGCTTTGTTTTAATTCGAGTTCCAAGGCAACTTTATTAAACAAACAACGGCCAATATAACTTAGCTGATTTGGTGTGACAAATAACTTGCTTTTAATTATAACTTGATTTTTTAGGACCCAAGAGAGGCCGAAGAGCGACGGGCGCTTATCCGTCAGAATAAGAAGCTTCTAAACCAGGTAAATTACTTCCCATGAAGGATGTAACCTCCATCAACACAGCTTTACGAATCAGCAAAGAAGATTGAACATCTGGAGCTTACAAAGATAGAAATGAAAGAACAGCTGGAGTTATTGGACTTCCAGTTGGTGGAGATAGAAAATCAAAAGGCCATTGTAAGTAGCAGTCTTTTTCATTTTCAGGGTCCAGGAATTTGGACAAGCCGTACCTAAAGTTTAAACATACTGGACTATCTCCTTCACTTTCCAAATATAAACCAGGTCGATGTAGCAATTTTGAAGCGCAAAATATAGGGACGAAGGTCGCTTAGTTCAAACGGGAACACATTTCTGAACAGGGGATATTCAATCCATTTTAGCTTCCTCTAGCCAGACACTCCAGTTTAAATTTTGCAGAACAATAATAAAGACTGGCTTACGTCGTTAGTCGGTTCATCAGATATTGCTTATTCTCAAATCATTCATACTGTCTCGACTAAAAAAGTGTTCGCGCCTACGTAAGTGAAGTTTATTTTGAAGATGGCATATTATTAAAAATCTTATCTTTTCCTTATGCATCTCGTTTACCGGACATTAACAGGATTTGTTAAAGCATGATAACATGTCTTCGGTACATTAATTTTCGTTATGTGGCTTTTGCTGGAACTTTGTAAATCACAGTTTGCCATGGAACGCATTTTTGCATGAATACAGTTGATTAACGATTTGCGTGGGAAGTTTTGTTTAAAAGTCAAAAATTAACCTACTGAAAATCTCAGACTTTTACGTCAAGCTTAGGGAGATGCCTTTATTTACCAAGACAAATATAGCTTTTTGAGTGAATTAAAGGAGTCAGAATTGCAATGAACCCTAAAAATTCACGGGAACCTGAACGGATTCCCAGATATCGGCTATTAGAGAAACTTACAGGAGAATTTTGGATAAGCATGGGATCTGGCCGAGACATTTTTATGAAGAATTTGACTACGTTGCTGCGTACATAATTCCCTGTCCTTCGAACGGAAAGCGGAAACAGAATCTAATGAGACTTCTACTGGGTTTGCTAGAAAACGAAGAGGCCGGTCAAGACCCCTGACAACTGCTGCTAAAGCAATTGTTTCTGATTTGGAAACTGTCAATCGTCCACTCAACTTCACACAGCTTTCCGGTGTGAAGGAAGGTGAGGGAAATGAAGACAAACATGAAGATCGCGTGAATACGCCTTTATAATATTCTCAGAAATGCGCCCTGCGCGTTCTATGATCAGAAAATCAATCTGGCCTTTGCTTGCTCATCCTGGGGTGGGCGCACGTGCTAGTAAATGTCATTGGGGGTTGTTAATGCTATGTAATCGTGACGCGTAATCTAACTGTTTTACTGATAACTAGTTTTTGGCGGAATGAAAAATAAGTTGATAAGTTTGATATCCGTCACACATTCAGATTCGGACTACTTTCCCCTGCTGTGAGCGTTTTGTTGTTATCGCGTGCGTACTTATTATGTAGTTCAAAAGTTTCCATGAAATCTCTTTAGTAATCTTATTCCTTTAGTCACCTAGTTAAGTGGCCTTGAAAATAGCTCCGCACGACAGTACAAGTAAACCTAATGTCGACAGTCACACAGGAAAGCCCATGCGTTTTTGGATTCTCAGTGTCCTAGCTAAAGAGCTTGTTTACGCTAGCGAGGAAAAGTCGATAGTTAAAAACCCTTTTGTCCTAAAGTAAATTCAGTTTATCCTCGCAAACTCTTAAAGGCTCTTCGATTTTTTAAGATCGAGGAAGAGGTTCGTCGCCAGTTACCACGTGAGGATGGTGAAGCACAGACCGAAGTAAGGCAACTGGTTTTCTTCCCACGCATATATACTTCTTTGCGACTAAATGTTTTATTTCCGTGAATCTGTACTTCTTTAGCGGCTGTTTCTTCAGGTTTCGTAAGTTTCACTATAATCAAACTGGCGGCGGTTGAAAATTTCACCTATATTCAATCTTAACCAGACGAAACCTTAAATATCACAGTTCTTCCGTGAAAATGGAAATATTTTATACATATTTTTTATTTGTATGAATTTGAGCGCGTATCTAAAAGTTAATCTGAAATCAGAAAGTTTGTTTGCGAGAAAAAGCATGTTGTGTCTTGAAATGTCGTGAAACCAAACTTCTGTGTAATCACGTTTTGCGGTGTATTCAACGCGATTCCGTTATATTTTTATAGCCCTTTCAAGTCTGTGGCTAAGTTATTATTAAAAAATATGAAATTACTCTTTATTCTGTGAACGCTCCTAGGAGTATACAGACTGCGTGATTTACTCCTAAAACCATTTTCTCAGTATATTTTTGTATCAGAGCTCGAGCAGATTTTGGTAGGACTGACCTATGTGGCCTCCTAAATAGGACCTTGGAATAGGTTCGACCCGCCCAAGTAATAAAGGTAGACTGGCGCCTAATTCTGGAAAGGGCAAAGTATTCCCGTGTCCAAACCCCAACAATAACCCTAATATTAAACTAAACCGTTGCCCTAATCTTGATCCCAACCCTGCCTTAAGCCTTAACCCTGCAGTTAACACCAGTCCCTACCTTGAACCTAAACTTGATCCTGACTTACGTTGCCGTTAACTTTAAATCTAGGTCTAAAATTAGTCCTTAACTTAACTCTAGCCTTAACCTTAAACCTTACCCTATTTTCACTGGAAGTTGGCTCAAAGTCACACGTATTGAGGGCGGTTTCTGCTCTTATGTCCTGTTTAGGTGACCCTATAAGTCCGTCCTATCCAGATTTCAACCAATATTCGAATCCTACTTGGTGGGGTGTGTCGTATTTACTGAGAATTTGCACACGTGCCTAGAAATTATCGAATTCTGAATTAAAGAAAAAAATCTGTTATCCTGACTGGCCCCAGACATCACTACAAATGGTGGTGTCAGTCCGATATAAACTGCGCAATTGCTTCAAGGACCCGCCAGATAAAACAATCTTGATAGTTTGACTAACCTCCATTAACTTTCAGAAGACACCCACTGCTGTTGCGTAATAGGCCCCTTTTGCCTCCATCAAAGAATTTCCTGAGGGCATATTTTGCAAAAGATTTGCGCTCTGTTTAACCTACTGAATCCCCAAGTTACTACTTGCAGTATACGGTCTGAGCTCGTTCACAGGGAACTCAGATGCGATTCAAAATCGGCTACTGGTTACTGATTTAAGATAGTTGTTCTCCCCGCCTGCCCTTTAAATCTTCGGGGTCCGTCGCAATCCCTTTTTTAGCTCTAGATAACAGTAAAGCACTATTTTGCTGGAAAACAGCAATATCACGTTTTCAAGCTACGGCAAGCATCTTTTGGAAGTCCATAAAGTACATCCACCAAGGAACTCTAGAGAGAAAATGGACACATTTTGGGGGATAGCTTTGCGACCATACAGTTAAAAATGTGATTATCATTACTTCGATATCATTTTAGGCATCAGCAACCTGATGTTAGTTTTGAATTCTTCGATCGATTTTCACATATTAGCTGACAAATTTGCGCAAGCTGGAGTTCGTTTCGCAAGGAAAACGACTGGTTAAACTTGTTAGACGATTCAATAAAACCGACAAACTGGGATGCTTGCCCTGCTGCTGAAAATGCGGCAATTTTAGGTTTGTGCGGCCTCAGCATATCAGTGGGTGGAAGACCTAAGTTGTCTGAATGTATCGATCGCACCACTTTTTTTTTTATCAAGAATCGTTACTGTACCCGCCTCTGGGCAGGCTATAGGTCAGAGGTCACTCATGTCGACTTCACCCAACACCTGGCTGCGCCTTTTTATTGCCTTTAAGTTGACTTCTAACAAAGTGCCCCGGTTAGACAGTTGACAAAGGACACGGAGGCCCGTAATCCGTTGACTAAGGGATGCCTTCCACCTTGAGCGACATTCATGTTCAACCTCTAATAAGTGGCCTCGAAGACTGCTTGGAGTAAGCAGGTTTTCGTGAGAATAAGATGCTGCTTTACTGTCGGTTTTCTACATAAATCGGGTAAATTTAACTTATAAGTGACGGAAAACAATTTAGCTCCGAGTTTCCTTCACGAGCTGACGAAATAGATGCTTCACAACATTTTCATCTAACCCGTTCAAAAGAACACCAGCGTCAAAACAGCATACACGCGAGCATGTATACCGTTGGCAGGCCATTGCCTGCGTCTGTACAAGACAAACACTCCCTTGGAAAGTAGTATTTTATCTAGGCCCGGAAGCAGGGAAAAATTGATCGCATCTTCGTCTTCTGAACTGCATCCTGGAGCTTAACTGCTATCTATTAGAAGAGGAGAGCAACCCGCTGGCCAGTCGTGGTGTTGTGGTCTGTCAAAAGGATTGTGGTGACCTATAGATCAGAGTGTTCAGAAGATTGGCAAATAAGAGGTAATTAATGAGCTTAAACAACAACTACCTCATCAGTCGCAATTGTACTCGTCGAGAGACAGTATTTCGACCAGTTGAGACGCTCTGGAGTGGACCGGAAAACAAGGTTATTGAATAACAAAGCATTTGATGGGTGTCAACGTCAAGGGGGCGTCCTGTCCAGTTTCGTCAACCGTTAAAAACGGAAAGAAAAGCAAAATCACATCGACTCAAAATTTTATCGAGCACCCCCCATACATCAAGAATCTCTCGGAGGCTTTCAACCGCCTTCTTACACCACTTGGACCTGAGATTGGACACAGACAGGAGACAGCCACTAGGTGCCCAAACAGAAAATTTGGTGATGTATTCAAACCTGAGACAACCATCATACGTCAGATAATGCCGCCCGAATGCTCGTGGCCATGGAAGCGAAGACCTTGGGTCTGGTATATTTGTGGTCAGATTACTGCAGGCATGGATAAACGGAGACGCAGCAGTAATGAGGAGGAATGAGGCCAATCATGAGGTCTCAGCCCATTCGACGGGACCCGTCCAGAGCATCAAATTTAAAAGGGGCCAAAATCCTTGCAAGAGATGACGACCGGGTTGGATTACAAGCTACTTGAGATATGGACCTGCGACCAATGGTCCATCAATAAGGGTGATTGTCTTTCACTCCCTATTCCGAGATAAGACTTTGTCTTGGCAGAGCACTTAGTCACGCGGGGAGCACACGGACTAACACTTGTCGAGTAATTTTCATACTTATAGCCAACATTTATGATTAATTTGTGACGATTAACGACGCGGGTGGGGAGAACCAAGCAAATCTCACACCAAGCACGACCATCCGCAATGAATGTGGGAGCTGGTGATGTTGATAGGAATGTAGCTGCATAAAAGCTGCATCCCATGAACACTGCACCCCGGTGTGTTCCGCCACTCTTTCTTAACTGTCGTCTCTTATTGTGAGTTCGAATAAGAATCTGAGAAGTAAGACGGATAACCTCTTTGTCCCATCAATCGCGTCTGTTTTCTTCACATCTTTGCCCGGAAACCGACATAAATCAACAATAGCACGTAGTTAATAGCATATGTTAACCTTACTACCGCACAACAAATGCTTATATATGACACACCATTCATGTTCTAGACACCTTTGTCCATATCCTTCTGTTCATGTATTAAATAGGTAAAACCCAACGGAATTCCTTTCTATCCACCTGCCGGAATACCTTTTCTTAGTTTGTCAAATATAACGGTTGTTTTTTTTCGGACTCAGACACTGCGCTACTAAGTGCGAACTAATCTCTGTTTTTTGGCTTACGTGTCGACCAGTTTGTAGACTAGTTTCAGCTAAATAATTTTTATTCGGTCTAAATGCATGAAATGCATATAGCCATCGCCTTCAGTTTCACCTGATTGGAGTCTAAGATGTCTCATGTGTCAACACAACCCTTAGATGTAATGCGGCCTCTTTTAAAATGAGCACGTAAATGAGGATCCCATATCTACTCTATCTCCTCCCTTCTAGTTATAAATAACGTGCATTTTGCACTAGCTGTCATCTATTGGTCTTTTGTCGGGCCAGTGTGTCGTTCTTGCTAGAAAACACGGCCGGTGTGGAAGGGGGGGGGGAGAGTAGGGGAAAGTGAAACCTCAGAGAAGCCGGGGAATTGTTTGCGTGCATAGTGCCTAGTCACGCTTCCGGGCAAGGCTAATCAGTGTGTCTTCTTCGCGCACAACGACCATCTGCCGATGGAAAGTATCCTCTACTGTCTAGGCAAATTAATGTCAGGCGCCATGGTTACAGCTCTGCACCTTTGGCCTGTCTTCTAGGCACGCCCGACTTGAGAGACAAAAGTGTGGCCAGTACTATCAGGAGTTGAACGGCTGCTAATGATAATAAACTCATCGTCAGAAGACGAGAGCTTCTGTGAAAATAACAGTTTCAAGGCTGCTGTAGTAACAGGATAACTTATTTAAAAGAAGGCGAAGGCACGATCACTGGGACAGTAGGTTTATTTGCCTGAGCTTTCGAACTCGAACTCGAATTCATCATCAGAGGCTACTCGAGTGCATCATCCGGCGGGCACCATGCGTAGCAGGATCATGAAAATGAAGGATCGGCTGGACGCAGGTGAACAGTCGGGCGTAGTCTACCGAATCCCCTGCCAAAACTGTCCTTGCCACTACACAGGCCAGACAGGACGACGTCTGAGCTCACGAATACTTGAGCACAAACGGGCCGTTCGGAGAGGCGACCCACTGTCTCAAGTAGCCACTCACACGCTGGAGGAAGGGCATGAGTTCGACTTCGCCAAGACGCGGATATTGGCGCGAGCCGGCAACAAGACAGGGCGAGAGCTGTTGGAGGCGTGGGTGTCGGACACCAACTCTATCAACAGACATCGATTTGCCTGCGTGTTATCACGCGCTCCGCCCACGCAGCCAGGTGGCGCAGCTCACACCGTCGCGAAGTACAAACGGCGTCACCACGCCGGGGGAACACCGTGGACCAGGCGGCACAAACCCTACCTAGCCACGGACGCACTCCCCCTCCCCCCGCAAGGATGAACGATATAAATGTTCACAATTTGCTGCACTCGAGTAGCCTCTGATGATGAACTCGAGTTCGAGTTCGAAAGCTCAGGCAAATAAACCTTCTGTCCCAGTGATCGTGCCTTCACGTTCTTTTAAACAAGAACCTATGATGCGCATATTCTCTTCCATTCGTGAGGATAACTTATGTTGAACTTCTAAAAATATACAATATATACATTGTATACAATTGTTTATTCCCATTCGCAACCGGCAGGACAACGAGCCCATGGCTCAGTGGTTAGAGACGTTGGACTTCTAACCAACAGGTCGCGGGATCGAGCCCCAGTTGTTCCACACTTCGGGGTTGGGTGCGACTGGCTGACGACGGCCAATAAGCCAGAAATGGCCATTCCAGTCTCCCTTGTCTTTGTCGGTAATAAAATTCTGCCTATATCGTGCGCCGCTGTGCGGCTGCTGGTTGGGCTCGAGAGAGAGCCCGTAAGACACAACGGGACGAGCGAGTTTCGTAAAAACGATCGGTGAGCGCTCCTCTACCAAAGGATACCTTATGCTGAGGCTTTTTAAAAAATCGGAACAGCTATTCAGGCAGAGCTAGGAACGGAAAAAACACTCGCAAAGGTTTTAGTAATTTGAAGCAAAATCTTGTTTGAGGCATCCAAATCGATATGTCTGTTAATGCGTACCTCATCTGGGTGCATCGCCTTTAGGGATTCGCAGACATCCTTTGTTGGCCAGTCCTCAATGATGCGAGTTTTCTCCGTGCATCGTTTGTGCACAGCCATCTGATGTAGATTGTCTAGTCTCATCACTGATGGATGATGTGTTCATACGGATGGATATAGGCTGATTTTCCAGTTATATCCCAATAACCTTCCTCGACACTGATGCGTAAGATTTCATACGCAACTTCTCAACGAAGTAGCCAAATAGGTCCTTACAGTGTACAAACTAGGGGTGCGGATTAATTGTAGGTTTGTACGCTGCCTCTGCCTGATTATCCCTCAGTTGTTTTTTTGAGGAGTTCAGATGCCTTTTATGTGTATGTAAAAGTTCACCGGATAGCCGCTTTCGGAGTCGGAGCAGCTGTATAGCCATTGAAGTACGCACACTTTTGGGATCCCGATGCATCCTCCAAGGACGCACAGAGGCAAGAGGACAGCCAATTTTAAGAACGATTTAGGAAGATATCTTATTGCTTCTATGTACATTTCTTCGTCGTAGTCGTGAAAGAAAGTGCGTTTTCATATTATTAACCTCCCTGTCAAAACGTAGGTGTTGGTTGCTACTTATTTTGTTTAGGTAGCTAGGTACAGTTAGGCTGCTGTGTTCGTATGTTTGACAGAGGGCGCATAACACATTACGGGGCTGGGTTTCGCTAATGACCACTTAATTTTGCGAGGTTTGCCTACCGCTGACTAGACATACGACCTGAGCTGTAGTCCCGACTCTTACTCTAGCCTCCATCTTGAGGTTAATCACACCACCATCACCACCACCACCACCATCACCATCATCACAACCTTGGTTGGTGTCTAATAGAAAGTGTGACGCATGCAACTTACCGTTCGGCGTTGTCACCGTTGAAGTGGCAGTTCAGCATACACATTCACCCCAGACAGATAATTACCAAAATACATACACAATGTAGGCGGCGGGGCTACACACGTCTCGGAGCATCTTATGGTCTAAATTAGCATTTTCGAGATCGCATCCCGTTTGGACCACAATGGTCCAAGTTTTATAAAATAGCGGATCGAGATCTTTTTCACATACGACTCCCGAGAAAACATTAGTGTAAGTCTTTTATAACTGGTACAGTTCTGAAGAGAATCAGGCGGGATTTCAGAGACAAAAATATTGCCTGTCTTGCGTTTCAGATTCTCATTTGGTTCCCCCATAAGATAAAGCATCTAATAAGGGTGACGGAAAGCACGGGGGTGCAGTATCCACTGCATGCAGTTGCTATGATGCTGCATGCCTATCAACATTACCAGCCCCCACATTTGTTGCAGACGGCCGTGATTGGTGCGGCTTTTGCATGGTTGCCCCAACCGAGATCGTTAATTGTCACGGTTTCATCACCAATGTTGAATTACTGTGAAAATTATTCGACCGTTTAACTCAGCGATAGGATCACTGGAAACAGTGATCGTCCCTGTGCTCCTCGCGGAACCAAGTACTCTGCCCAGACAAAGCCTTAACTCGGAATAGGGAGTGAAAGACAATTACATTTATTGATGGACCATCGGTCGCATGTCCATGTCTCAAGTAGCTTGCGACCCACCCGGTCAACACTCGGTCACCTCATTAACCTTCATGCTCTGAACGGGTCTCCTCGAATGAGCTAAGAGTTGACGTCATTCCTCCTCACTACTGCTGCGTCTCCGGTTGTCCATGTCTGCAGTGATCTCCCAGTATCTCCGATGTGGTTCCTTAGCCACAACTGCATCGGATCCGGTTAACAGCTTAATACGTTTCCCGCCGTGGCCAGGGGTCTTCCGGTTTCATTATCTGACGTTTGATGCTGGCCCCGCCTTGTTTGCATCCCCGGCTTTTTGGTAGTTTTTTTATAGACATCACAACAAAATTCTTTTGCGTTTGAAGCGTCGGCCAAATTAAAATTATCTGTTATGTTGAAGGAATACCGACAAAGGCGGGTTAGCGTAAAGTGGCCATTTCCGTTCGTCCGCTTTGCCGCCGCAAGCCCACCATAGTTCCTTTTCAGTCCGCACGTCCTGACATCCAAAAAATTGGCGTAATGGGTCATGTTGAATGTCACTACCATCTTCAGCCACTTGATCCATGTACTCACGCTAGGTTGGATGTGGTCGCAAGAAGTGTCATGCCATTGCTGCCGAAACGGTTCGAATACAGGAGGAATGAACTCATTCTGTTTTAAGAATGCAGATTTTCGCACTCACAAGTAAAGGAGTTCAGTCAATCTATTACTACTTCCCATGTTCAAAAGAAAAGTATATTTTTGATTACTAAGATAGATAGGAGCAGCTGGAGGATTATTTGATGTATCACGAATGAAGGCGAAATTTCGAGTTCATGGTGTATACATATTTGAAAAAGAAGAAGACTCGAGCACCGGAACAATTCGTTTATTATCCTGAGCTTTCAGACACTACCTCTGACGATGGACTCCTGTACGAGTCTGAAAGCTCAGGATAATAAACGAATTGTTCCGGTGCTCGAGTCTTCTTCTTTTTCAAATATTTGATGTATATTTGAGGGTATTGTGGAGTCTTTGAGCGCCCGCTGTTCCACTGTAGACTATTTGGCCCCAGTACTGTCTGTTTACTAAGCATGTGTTTTATTTCTACGCAGGAGGATCCTGAGTCGGGCGCTGCGGCCGTCGCGATGGCCAAAGCTGAGACTGCGAACGTGCTCTCTGAGCTGGCCAATCAGCAGGCCGAGAGCGCGGCCCTCTTAGCCAAGCACAGACACCTAGAGAACCTGCTGCGTGATTTACGAAGGGACAATGCTGAGCTACGTGAGCAGATCCAACTCCGTACTGAGGACTCGGAGAACTCGTTGGCAGAGAGTGACAAACACCTAAAGTCTCAGTTGCTGCAGGTAATTTTTGATAGTGACTGCCCTCTTAGTCATGAGCTTCCTTCAACTTTCTTCTCTGCCTTTATTTACTGTCGAATAAAACGAAGATCACCTCGGACATAACGGTTTAAACGTCATGGAAACTATTATGTCTTATGCAGCCACTGAATTATATGCAGATCACACCGTAGAGGTCGACCGTGGAATCAGTCTGGAGTTCCCATTGGACTTTTAGATTCCTTTCTCTGCCTTCGCACTGCTTACTTCATCTTCGTACTCCCTTCCCCTTTTGACATGAATAGTGGATGGTGTTGTGAGGCGGGTTCGCGTGTTGTGTGCGGGTTAGTGTGCCGCGGTGTGATGGTGGGTGCCGTCTACGGCGTTCTACCGCCTGCTTTTATGGCAGAGCGCCACGTTTGTCGATCATAAGCAAGGTCCACCCAGGTCTCCGGGTTGGGTTTTCATGTGCTTGAGTGAGGCCTTCGAGGTGTCCTTGTAGCGACGCTTTTGTCCGCCTTGTCTGCGACCCCCTGCCCTACAAATGGCCGCTTGCGCATGCGCTCGTCGCGCATCCTTACGACGTGGCTGCGCCATCGCGGCTGTATCTACCTCAGCATGGTGTGGGTACTGAGAACGCCGGTTCTTTCCGGAAACCGCTCCTGCCAGCTTATCTTCAGTGTTCTTGGGAGGCGACTGAGGTGAAATTGTCCAGTCATCTTGCTTGACCTTCATGAACGGTCCATGTCTCCGTCCCGCACGCCAACGCTGCCACGACAACATTCCTGTACATCCTCAGCTTAATGTTGAGTAGGATGCCACAACAGTTCCAGACGGAACGCTTTAGCCGACCGAAGGCCTGTTTAGCGATAGAGGTCTGACATACGACATCGTGTTCGCTCTTGGTGCTTTTTGATATCATACTCCCAAGGTACCATAATTTCTTCATTGCTGTAAGGTGACTTCCACTGACATTGGTGCAGGGTTGGGTGTAGTCAGCATTTGGCGCCGGTTGGTACAGAATCACTGTCTTCTCCGTGCTGGTAGACCGAAGGTGGAGAAGCCGGAGGCTAACAGGTCCGCATTCTACTGCGTGCCCTTTTCGTTGTGATATTTAGCTCTCGGTCATCCGCGAACGATAGTTCGTGAACGCTGGCCTTGGATATTTTCGAAGATGCTTTTCGGTAACGTATGTTAAGCAGTTTTCCGTTGGTTCAATAGTTGGCCGGCCGCTCCTCACGGTAGGCATCCATCAACATGGCGGATCCCATGAGACTGAATAGGGTGAGACAAGTACTTAACCCTGCTTCACCCAATTGGTCATCGTGAATGCTTCACATATTGCCCGTTGTCTGTGTCGCGAGTCATGATACCGTCATGAAGTTTTTTCATTTGAGTAAATCGGTCAGTACATCCGAATTTCAGTCGGATTTTCCAGAGTCCATCGCCATACAGTGTGTCAGAGGTCTTCATCAACCAAGGTGGCGTAGAGGTTGGCCCTCCTTTCCCGACACATTTCCGGCAGTTAGCGAACAGCGAAGGTCATGTCTGTGGTTCCGCGACGTTTTCTGAATCTGCACCGGGTTTCTGGCAGAATTCCCTGCTCAAGATGCCTTTTCAAGCTATTGATTTGGATACGGGTCTAGATTTTTCCTTCGGGGATACCTCTGTGTTCATCACGGATTTGCTGGTTCCCATTGCGTGTGTAGTTTTGCACGATGGTGGCGTCCTTGAAGTTGTCTGGGAGTCTCCTTTTTTGCAACATTTGGAACAGCAAAATAAGCTTTTGCGCGAGTTATGGTCTACCGTACTTGTGGACTTCAACTGGAAGTGCGTCTACTCCTGCTGCTTTTTCACTGCACAGCCGTTGCACCGCTGTCATTCGCTCAGGGTGGGAAGGCGATAGATCGAGGTCTTCGTTTGTGTCCACGTAGAGAAGTCTTTTAGTGACTTCTTTGCTTATTGTGGGCGGGTGGTTGAGGACGTCCTGGAAATGCGCGGCCCAGCGCTCCAGAGTCTGTGATTTCTCTGACAGGAGGGTTGCTCCATCCTGGCTCAGAAGTGACGCACTTACCTTGGGTTGCAAACCATAGTCTGCCTTGATGGCAGTGAATAAATATATCCCTTTAAGGTTGGCAAATCCCTGCCTCTCCTGAGCTTTGGGAGTCAACCCGTCGTACATTTATCTCAGCCTCCGCTATAGTAGACTTCGGCCTCTCAAAATGCGACCTTATTTTCGTTCCTGATATTGGTAGTGTAGCTCGTGTGTAGACTATGGTTCTCCGAGAGGAGATTGCGGATTTCTTCGTTACTGTCATCAAACAAATCCTGTTGTGGACGTCACGCGCAGCCGAAGGCTTCCATCGCGGTTGCCTGGATAGTATCCCGCAGTTTTCTCCACTGAGTTTCGACACTGGTATGGGCCTCCGATTTGGAGTTTAGACTGCTGCTAAACTTCAGTCGACGTATTAAGTAGTACACTATTGAACGTGCTTCATGGTCGCCTACCTTGTGGTTGCCTGAATGGTTGCGGTCGCAGGCTTATCTTGGAGCTGACAAGACGGTGATCCGTACAGCAGTCGGCACCACACGCTGCCTTGGTAACGAACACCTCACGCTGGTCTCGCCTCCGAATGAGGGCGTAATCCAGCAGGTGTCAGTGACGCGATCGAGAGAGCACCACATTGCCTTCTCCTGCATCCGAGCACGAAAGGTGTGTGTCAGGATATGAGTGCTGCAATGGAGATGGGCCCGTTATCACTGGAACAGTGATCACGGGGCCTTCGGAGTCGTACAGACGCCCAACATCAGGGACTGTATGGGTGCAACACCAAGTGAGCGCTTTTGTAGGCAAACAATAAGGGAGAGGAAAGTGTTCGTTACTGGCCGTGTCCCTCTGTTACGTCCACGTTTCAGGTGGTGCAGCCCACTTTCGCTGCCGAGGACGCGCACACTGTCACCACCCTGTGACACCACTCTGAGTTAGGTGACATGAACCCGGTCCAACAGCTGCGGACAGTACCTTCTCACTCCTTCTTACTTTAATGTCTAAGTACAGAGTTCACTTATTGTTGCACTCACACCGTCTCCGAGGCTGGGCTTCTATACGAGTCCGGATGCTCACCTACTGCTCCAGTGATTACGTGTTCATCATTTTTGCATCACGAACCTCGGTCTTACATTATCGCCTGCATTTGGAAGAGGATTTTCCTCCGCAGTGGCCTGCAGGAGGAAAAGGCAATTGCTGTTGCAGCTGCCGATTCCCTGGCGACGGAGCTCCCCCATCCCCCGGCATGGTCTCTGCCGACGCAGTGAAGTCACCAAGGGAAATCGTTTCGCTCGCTTTCGGCGCAATTGCTAGGATGCCGTGCAGGTCTCCGTAGAACTTCTTCTTCACGTCACCGGAGTTGGTCCTTGAGGCGCATACGCGCTGGAGATGATGTCAAATTTATTGACACGGAGTGGCAACCTGCTGTTCATGGGACAGTCACTGACGACCTCTAGGAAGCAGGAGAGCCGTCTCGTGACGTCATTGCTGATGGCTTCGTGGAGCCACATCTGTGAGCTGGATGCTGGGCCGAGACGACGTTTAAGCATTTCCCAATTTAATCAGTGCGTTTGGCAGGGACCGGCAGTGTAATATTTATAGGTATTTGCTGCTCCCGCGGTCGCGCCTGCGTTAATAGGCCCAGGCGGCCTCGCCTATGCTACAGTAGGTGGGCTAACTCATGAAATGTCAACCGAAATTCCGAAATGCGTTTTCGTTTCGAAAAGATTAATTAAGTAGGGTTGTAAAACAAGTCAGTCTGCAAGATAATTTTACAATATTTCAGTTACGTCAGGATGCCGGCTTTCGAATTAACTTCCTTTCGGCTGCATGTAAAAACAACACTGTGAAAAATGACTACTTAAGTAGCATGCATTTTTCTCATTGATTTTCGATGCCCCTAAAAGTCCAATTATGTTTCAAGGAAAACATGCATAAAAATATTCATTCTTTTGCTCATTCGGTAGACAATTACGTCTTCTTCTAATTTTCTACTGAAGAAGAAATAAAATTAGGTTTTTAAAAAGTTTCTAATTGTGGGACTTTTAAATACCGTGAAATGGCCGTTCATAAATCGCCATGTCTCTGCATTTACCAATGTGGCTTGTAAAGTTAGCAATATGAATCAAATCTAGTGCTAAATTTTATGAACCCTATATGGTCCCCCGTTATTACCGTAGAGGAATGTGTGGTTTTCGTACGCGGAAAATATACGGCTTGTAGTTTGGAAACCCTGAATCCAAGTGTAACGGTAGAGCGGTTTCAAAATTACTTGGGAATCGGAAAAGTTTTTGAAAACCAAATTATACCCTTCCTTCAGTTATAAGATTAGAGATTAGAATAAAAAGTAATTTTCTACCGAATGAGCAAAAGAATGAATATTTTTGTGCATGTTTTCCATAAGGTATAATTGAAAGTTTAGGGGCATCGAAAATCAATGAGAAAAATTCATGCTACTTAAGTAGTCGTTTTTTACAGAGTGTAGTTTTTGCATGCAGCCGGAAGGAGGTTCATTCGAAAGCCGGTATCCCTAGGTAACTGAAATATTATAAAATTATTTTGCAGGCGGACTAGTTTTATATCCGTACTTAATTAATCTTTTCGAAAAGAAAACGCATGTCGGAATTTCAGTAGACATTTCATGATGTAGCCCACCTACTGTATATCTTCCAGCATGGCAGCTGCTGACGGCGCGTCCGTGTCAGGGTGTCCCCCCTCAATCCGAAGTCATTCATCGTCAATCAAACCGCATCGACGTGTCTGGAGTTGACCATACAGCTGCGACGTGCCCCCCCCCCCCGGACTACTACACGCCTTACGCCCCCTAGTGCAACGCGACAGTTTGGCCGTCGTGTCAGACCATGTTCACTGTGTGTCCCACAGCATTGTTGGCGCAGGGATTCGAACTTGGGCGAAGTTTCGGGAATTAGTTCGCGGACTACCGGGGACGAAGATGAACACACACGCACGGCAGATACTCTCATCTGATGTAACCCGCCGGTCAGGGCCGCTTACGGGGAGTGTGGCCGCCGCGCTGAGCAAGGCTTCGCGGAGCCACAGATGAGTGCTGGCGCCGGGATGGTGCGGAGCAGAAGTGTCTACCGGATCCATCGATGTGTCCTGCAGCCACTGTCAGTGTACTGTTTATAGGTAACTGTTACAGTTCTGTGCGTGCCTGTACTACTAGGCCCAGTGGGCGTCGTCTATGCTGCATCCATATCCGGGCATGGTAATTTCAGGCAGTACAGCTGAAACGTGGACACTCGACCGCGACACCCTGTACACCATCCCTTTAAGTACAGCACATAAATGAAACTTGACTCCCTGCAAAACGAAAGCAAAAAAGGAACCTGTGCATCTCTTAAATAAAATAAGACATAATTAAAACGGACATCGAAATCCAATGGATAATATCCCCGTCATATACGTATGTAGTCCTCTTTGTCAGTGGGATTTCTACGGTTCGCTGAGAAGATGCTTGTTTGAAAGTTACCTTCCCAGAGTTTGTGAACTATGTTTAGATTACGGTGCAGGGTAATAGGTAATTTAATTTGGCCTGAGTAATCCTTTCTAATCCACGTCATCCTTGTGAATCTCACTCAGTGTTTCGGGAGTTTTGCTGCCTCCTGTACTTCTTAGAGGAGTGCCCAGACGTCTTAAACTTTGATCAGTAAGGACGCAGTATAGGACCCCACTCGGGGAACAAAAACCAGGTCATCGTGGCATATTGCGTCCCCGCCTTCTTTTACACTTGACGCTTCCGCGCTCTCGTAACTAGATAGAATGTAATCTACTTCTTTCGTGAAAACAAACTAGAAGAACTGCGAAAAATGCTCAACTTTTCTCATACTGTCAGATATCTCGGTACCCGTACCATGTCTCGGGGCTCGGGTTCCTAGTACGTGTGTTTTTTCGCAAGTAGTTGTGAATAAATTTGGTGCAAGGACGCAATGTGCCACCTCAACACTTATCCGAATGTTTACTTACTATCGCGCTATTCTCTCCGCCGTTTAGCCCTCCCCCCCATAAACCCGTATTACACGATGACCTGGTTTTTGTTCTCTGAGTGGGATCGCATACTGCGTCCATTCCCTAATTTCACATCAAATACATAAACAGCAGTCGCTTCCACGCACTTCCCTCAATCGTTACTTGTACTATGCAACGACATGTGGCAACCGAAGAGCCTTCGGGATCTTCTGCACGCCCGCTCGACACCGTTTGGAGATCGATTTTGCCACGTGTCATCAAACTAGATGGTCATATCTCCTAAATCTCAAGAAACGGATTAGATTCAGATGGTTTACTTTATACCAATGGTAAAAGCTCTCGCGCGCGCATTCGCAATAAAGTAATGCCTCCCGTTAAACTGACTTCTACTGCTCTTATTTCAGGAGGAGCTGAAAGCCAAAGACGAGATTATTGCCGAATTACAGATGAACGCTCAAAAGCACGAGGAGATCTTAAGGAGACTTGGCTATTCGCTTGCGGAGGGTGCAGGTGGTGGTGAAGAGAGGACTCCAGTCAGTACCTCACCTCCAGACGATTCGCTTGTTAGAGAGGTGAGCTCCTCGACCTGACTGCATGATCCCTACACTGACAATGATAGCGATGTTATCAATATTTGCAAAATGCCACTAGTTTAACGACAACTTGAATTTCCTTTTTTCCATCTTCGGTGCTGCTGTGCTATACGCTGGGATGGAATCTTACCAACTGCAGGCGAGCATGCTCAAGGAGGCAGAAGTTACTTCGGAATATGTGCTTAATCGCCTAGAGGAACGTGAGCCGCGGAAGCAACTGGAAGCCGCATCAATGTCACTGGCGTCCATTGGCTCGCAGACCGACTTCGATATGGTACAGACTGAAGCACTGGTTGCGGCCTCAGAAAAGCTCCTTTCTGGAGGCGTTGTTCTCAGCGCTAAAGCAATGGAAGATATTGTTAAAGAGTTGGAAACTTGTTACCTGGTGGTGAAAGTTGAGGGAGAAGGGAGCTCTGCCTCCACTTCAGCGCCATCTGCGAATAGCATTCGTTCAGAAGAGGATATACTCGCGGCCATCACAAATTTGAGGCAGAAAATCATGGCCTGGAAGTGAGTTTTATGCGTAATTCCTGCCATTCAGTTCTATGTCCCAGTCTCCCTCATCACAAACTGCCAGACGTATGCAGTAGTGACTTTTGTACAAAGTAATCTGCGCACTGATTTCTCCTTTTATTGGAAACTAGTTCTTCGTATTAACAGGGATAAGGTGGAAAAATGCGGATGGGTACAATCTGATAAGGAAGGTCATTGAAGTGCGAATACTATCGTGGGTTAAGCCGTCATATCCAAGCACTGAGATTAGTCCTATTTTAGTAAGGTGTGATTATGTAGCCCCACCTGATGGACACACTACTGTTAGGGCTAAAGGTTGTGGTTCAGGGTTAGGGCTAAGGTTAGGGCAGCTATTTCTCAACCACTCAAAGTGCAACCGCGTATTCCCAATAGCTTTGCTTTTGCATGCAACTACCTGACCTCGTCGCCTGTGCGTTCCCCGGCCCCACCTGTAAAAACCCTAATTACCACCGGTCCCGTATTACAGGTGGCTGGAGTTTGTTTACTGCAGGTAGGGCTGCATAATCACATCTGACCCCTGTTTCTGTTAAATACGTCATCCAGTGTTTTTTAAATGACTTTTTTGATGGGCTATTCTCCAATATGCAACTTGTTTCACTAGTCCTAAGCATGTGTAACATTATAAAACGTTATCCTTAGTTTGCGTGTACATGACAATACTTTACGCTCATGCCAATTAAAAAGTGGACCGGAAAATTTTGTTTTAAAGTTTCTGTTGAGGTGTACGAATGCAAAAATTCAAGGTAATAAGCGATGAGAAGTAATTTTAATGGGTTGTCAGATATGCCCACTATAGTTGGCTTCCGTGTTTCTGAGTCTGCTCTTTAAGCTTGTAAAATGAGGGCATGTGAGAATATTTCATTCTTAGAATGTTCACATGAGTGTTTGAAACTTGAATGTTGCTTGGACATCAATGCATGCACGTTTTGTTACGCAGTGTTTTTTTGAATTTGGCATCACTAGAGTGCAGCGCGCACGTTCCTTAACGCTTGAATTTAAAAACTAGTTTTGTTCGTGAACCATTTGCGCCTATTAAGTTTTCTTGCCTGTTTTTCATCACGTTACAAAATTCGTAATTGTCAAACTCTGTCCCCTCTGTTTCCGAAGTTGGTTTTATACTCGAAAAGATCACGTAATTAGTATTTTAACATTAATTAGCGTGCAGCATTATACCAAAATACTCCAGTTACGTCGGGATGCCGGCTTGTGGACGAGTTTTCTTCTGGCCAGCTGCAAACTCTGCATTCTGTAAAAGACGATCACTTACGTAGTATGAATTTTCCCATCGCTCCTATAGATGCAAATACATTTTAAAGAAAGCAGACAATACATTCGTTCTTGTACTCATTTAGTAGCAAATTAAGTCTTTTACAAATTTTATCATTGAAGAAAGGGTGTCTTTCGGTTTTAAGAAATTTCTTATAGTGCTGAATCGCATCATCGTATTTATTAATGCTGCCTAAGAAGTGAACAACGCGGTCAGCATCTACCACAAAGTTCAAAAATCTTTATATGATGTCTTCGTAATAGCGTGTCGAAATGAATGACTCTCCTTACAGAGAAAGTATACAGCCTCTAATTTTGAAACTTTGAATGCAAGTATGACGGCATTTCAGGTTTTAAACGAATCGGGCATTGGAAGGGCTTTTAAAACCCGAAGGATACTTTCCAGGTGAAAAATTTGAAGAAGACGTGATTTGCTACCAAACGAGTACAGGAAAGGATTTTTTATGTCTGTCTTGAAAATGTATTTGAATTTATAAGGATGTGAAAAATCAATGGGAAGAGTACATCCCACATAAGTAGGCATCTTTTGCAGAGGTCAGACTTTGCAGGCGGCCAGAAATAAAGTCGCTCAAATGCCGGCATCCTGATGTGACCGAAATATCTTTTGAGATTATGCTTCACGACTATTAATATTGAAATCCCACTTAAGCAATATTTTCGAATCGCAAACAAATTTTGGAGTCTTGGTCAACATTACATGAGATTGCACGTCCAGTTGACTTGGTTCACGGAGGTTTGGGTTTAACTGGTAACTATTTATGAACTTATTTTCCATATATAGCGCTTCGAAAGGACTGGAAACAGGAACTGGACCGGTAAGTTGATCTCGTTTCTGTTGTAATGCTTGTTATCGGCCGCTGCACGTCTTCCTTTCTTTATGCTGATTTATTATTACTTTGAAAAGCATAAAATGTGGATTTTTGTCAGCCTGGAAAATTTTTCCTCCACTCCAGACAACTGTATATTTCCCTACCTGGAGACGTTAAATTTGAAAAGGTTCTTTGAAGTTACTGAAGATTTGGTTTAAATTTGTTTCCTGGGCATTTTGCTTCGGTGGCCATTTAAATGTTTCCAGTTCGCTCCAGCTTTGGATACTATTGCGTGTGTTTACTCGGATTTGTATATATCTGTAACCGGTTTTATTTATCATGCACTTGGTCAACACACAATTTAACAACTGTATTAGTGAGTTTTTTTCAATTCACTCATCATATGATAGTCAGCTTTATGGCGGAGAGAAACCTACAGATGTTCAATATTAAAAAGAGCGTCTCAGTGACTTTTAATACCTTAGTGCATATCTTTTACTGAGGGATGGGTCTGAACTTCGTTTTCATAATGGAAAAATGCCACCTGAGCCGATCGCGACATCTGTTTCAGAAATGAGAGGGTTAAGTTGGCGTGCGTAGTCTACGCATACGAACAGACTTCCTATTGCAAATGACAGTTAAATCTCCACATGGCGTCAACATTTGCTGAGGAAAAAAACATTTCTAGAAGGTTTGCCATACCGTTTCATCCCATTTAGGCAAAGTCCGACCCATTTACCACCAGTAGCTTTAGCGGGGGAAGTTGTTGCAGTGTCCATGTATTGAACCCCAGAGTAGATTAGGAGCCAATGTCTACTAAGTCGAATCGAGCCAGATTGGACCAAAACCAGTTGAGGATCTACCTGCAGTAAGTGACAGTTCGGCCGCCATTGTTGACAAATTCCACCATGTGTCCCACACCATTACGGAAACAAGGACGGTGAATTCGTTTATGGTGATAGTAGACTTGCGCAGCATCTACTGTACTCTCACCTTTCCCACCTGGGCCCAGCATCATGACAGAATCAAGAATATCGGAGACGGGAAAGGACTTAGGTGGCTGACACGGCGAAAACCCGCACATAAGCGCGTGCCACCACACCGTCTCGCACCCCAATGAGTGTGAGTTCCGTAGAGGCCACATTAAGAAGGAGTCATTGCAGCCTGACTCTCAGTCCACCAGACCGCCACCCCCACACAAAGACACACTGGACTGACTGTGAGGTCCGAGTTATCTCGTCAGTCGTCAGCCTTCCAAGCTATGGCTTTTAAGGCACCGTGACAGATTCGAGCGCGTCAGATTGCTTATAGTGATGAGGATGTGCGTTGAGACCGTTGCTCTCACTTTCTGCCCATTTCCAGACACCAGTCCGCGGTCAGATGTCTGATGCGGAGAATAGGTAAAGTGGCTGACAGAGGTAGAGAGCCTGGAGTAAGTACAATAGCAGACACACCGAGTGTTTTGTTTTTTTTTCGGTAATGAAATTACCGGAAACTGATTTAGACGAGACAGTAGTTTTAATAAGGAGAAAGTTACGGCCATGTTCAGCCGTAGAACCTAACTCCGACCGATCAAGACGAAATTAACCAGGCATTTGTGGTCTGCACCGATTGCACACAATAGAGAAGGCTTCAAGTGTACAGGCAAAAATCGTCCAGATCAGTTTAGGTTGATAAACAAAACGGGAGAGTTGTTGCAATTGGCTCTCCGACACCAGAGAGAGGGGCATTGTCTCGGTACAGTCCCTAAGAGTGCTAGGAGCCGGTTCCAGCGTTACTTGATGCTGGGCGGGAAACAAACCGATTTGGCCTCGCCCCAAAAAATTTATCACGGAATGGAGTGATAACTGTCCAGCAAGTCTGCATAAAACACCATTAACAGGGAGACTGACAGGAAATAGCCATTACCGATATGAATTCAAAAACGGCGCCTACGCCAAAATCAGCGGTTCAAAAACTCACAACAACCTGTTTTCATTTCTCGATATTTTAATTACCCTTCAATTCAAATGAAGATATTTTTGTGCTGACGCAACTGAACTGAAGTCTCTACCAAAAGTCTAAGCACAGTCAGCGAGCCGAAGTAGCCCATCTGTCTTTACTCCTGAATTTCCTGTACTTCATCCAGGATCCCGCGAAGTGGACTGAACTAGAGACAGCTCGATCACGTGATTCTCTGGCGGGACAGGCCGACGTAGCATCTTCTGGGGTGTCAGAACCGACCAAAACGTCAAAGCCGCAGCATCGAAAACCTCCAACAGGGGATGAATTAGAACGACTAAGACTGAGGGCTGGCGGCAAAGAGAGTAATCATCCCTCAGTACAGGGGCCTGAAATCGGCTTGCTATCGACACAAATTCGCAATCTGATTTTAAAGTAGACAATATCGCAACACAGTCAATTGAAAGTGACGTCTTTATGCAGTGATGTAATGCTATTGGTGAAAATGCAACCTTTAGGCACGTCAGCTGCGACTGCGCTTCTCCTTGAGTATCATCCCTTAATTGGTCAGAATGTCAGACAAATGACTGGATGAGTGAATTTAACGGCGAATTCAGATCAGAAGTCAGATGACCTGGTAAAGTTGATTGACCACCTGAACCCTTTTCAGATAGAAAACGAGCAATTTTTTAGCATTGTGGACATGTAAATCAGGCTTTAGCATATTTTTTCTGCTTCGGCAAAGCTAGTAAATGCTTCCGCCTTTTTCAGATTTTATATTTTGTTGTCAAGTCTGCAAGAATTTTTCTGAGAAGCCAATTCAATCAGCATAACGCTCTTAGGTCTCCGGGTTCTTCAAAGACCTATATCATGTCGAATGGGGTAAGCAGAAAGTAAGGAGTTGAAGAGAAGTCGACAATACTTTTTGGAAGGCCTTTGAACGCCTATATACGTCTCCAGAACATTTGACGAAGTAGCTTGCGCCCACGAAAGCTCCAGTACCGACTATTGTATTGTCGGTATCTTAACAAAATGTCGTCTGGGAGCTTTTTGCATGGATTACATCAAGGCTACAACTATCATTTCCTAAGTCGCTGCCTCGACGTCACTCGTCTCAATGCTTGAGAAATCACCGCCTCGAGATCCACGACGAATGCGGATTGGGATCCCAGCCCTGGTGTCGGAGTTTCTGCTTCTTTCTGTGTCCTGCCTTGCCTACAGGCTAACAGTGGCGAACGATGTCAAGGATATTAGAAAGTCTAGGCACTTGCTATGCAAGTTTCTGCCGCATTTTATTAAACGCGATGATTGGGGTGTTTGACTTCGACCATCAGGCATTCACACAGGAGTACTTACGGTTAATTAAGGTAGTTACGTGCATGTAGACGCTGGCCCACCTTCCAGAACGGGCTGTGCCGTTTTTAGGTCTATTATAGTTATGAAGGTCTGACAGGAAGTAAGTGAGCCTTCGACCCCTGTTGAACTGTAAAAGGCTTTCGCCCTGAAATGGTGATTATGTTTAACTTTCCACGTCTACCGACTGCCCAAGCTACCGGAACGTGTGAAAGCCCTATGTACTGGACTCTTCAGCCTTGGCACTAATATGAGTCCCACCCGTGCGGTCGTCCTAATTTCGCACTTTCTGAGAATTCCTCTTAAATTCCCGAGTGTCACGCATTTCAAAACCCCGTTGACGAGCTTCTGGAGGGCTCCAACTTGTGAGGACGTCACACGTAATTGTCTCTGTGTTCAGAGGTTGACTCATGGCCTTTAGAATCAACTCTCTTACGTTGCCTGCTCCTTCAGCGACGAGGACTGTTCCTGCATGTGAGTCTATCATTCTCTCTGGAAGAGAACGCTTACGCTCTTGGGCTCCTGTCCATTGTCGCGGCAGATGACGGCGTGCTGTTGACAAATTTGAACCATGATGTACGGGAGTGGAGGGAAAAAGTTGGATTGGGGAGTGGTCGATGCGCTCGACCAGCCCAACTTGGTGGCGACGTGAGCTCCCTGTCACGTGATTAGGATTTTCCCGGTGGGAGGTTTTCGGTGTGTTCTTTGGCTCGGTGGAGTTAACTTTTGGTAACGGCAGTGTTTTCGTTATTCTCGGTTTTCTGGTTCATTCTTGGTTTATTTTTCTCTTAAGGTGTTGGATTGCATTTGTTTTAGCAGCGACCATTCCGTTCTTACGCCTCAAATATCCTGTTCCTCGTAGGTTGATGAAACCAACGCGCAGGCCTCAGCAAAACTCCAACAACGAGTGGGAACCGTTTCCTTCGAAAATTCTCGGTAGGTCAGACCAGTTTGTCATCGGTATTGGATGAAGTGTAGTCTCGGCCATTGTCAAAGGTAATCTGCACTTGTGCCCCCCACCCTGGCCTGCAGATTATCCAGGATATAGTCACTTCGACCGTTGCCAACGAAGATGTCCACTGTGTGCCCTACAGAGTGGATGTAACACAGGTGATACACACTTGCATTAATCTAAAGTGAACTGACAGAGCTAGACAGTCGTCTACGCGTGCAACGCACGTCTGGTCCGCAAACGTTGGGCCAGGTTTCCAAACACGAGGGAGGTTGCTCGAATTTCTACGGAATTGGAGTGTCATAGCGGTCGCATTAAGATGGAGCTATTGCAGCCTGGCTATGCGTTCCGAGGGGACCGGGTTACCTTGTCAGTTGACAGCCTTCGAAGCAACGGCCATTAACGCACCATCATAGTTTAAAAGCGTATCATATTGTTTATAGTCAGCAGTATGCGCTGAGAGTCAACCTCAATCGCTCTCCCGGACACCATTCCACTGTCTTAGTCAGTCAATCAGCTAATACAGGGCTTAGACGCTAGTGGCTGACAGAGCTGAATAACCTGTCTACGCGCCCCACACACAAGCTGGCCAGGCACCGGGTTGCGCCGAAGGGCATGCACCCCATTGACACGAGAGGTGCATGTTCTTTGCGCCTCGTAGTTGGTGTGAGCAAGTTTGTGCGGCCCATGGGCTGTTAGAGTCAGGTGTGTTTTTATGGGTCTTGAACCGTGGTGCTTTACCGCAGATTTTCATGGAGGTGTCGCGTCGTTCGCCACAGAAGAGGATGTAGCCGACACCCACGCCTCCAGCTGACCCTGTCCAGAGAATCGGGTCTTGCTAGGAACAACGATGTCCACATTTGGCGCGCCAGTTATCGAGCCACTAACACCGCTCTTCTTTTCGGCCAGTTTACACGTGAATTTTCTAAAAGAGAACGAACATTCTATGCTGCCAGAGCGTGCAGTCACCCCAAGAGCCTGTTGGGCGGGAGGGAGGTGATGGGGACGGAAGTTATCGTTGTTTTTTCGGTTGTTTCGAGTGCGAGTTTTTCATCTACGGCCCGCGGTCAGCTTGCTGGTAGATTTATTTCCCAATGTTTGTTTAGGACGCCTTTTCTAGCCCTTTCCCCTGCCCCACGAGGAGGTAAGCCCTGTCATCCTCAAATGGGGCCAATCAGACATTTCGGGTGGCTGCCGAACACTATGAGTCACGGCTTTGTTTAGTGTAGGGTGACTCAAATTAGCCTGGGCTGCCCACGAAATTGCATGTTGCCCTCTCCGTAGGGCATTTCGCCGGGAAGAATGGGAAGGAGACCATAATTACCGGACGTGGGGGAACACACACGACAACGCATATCCTCATTTGGTTTAGTCCGTCATTCAAAGCGGTTACCGAAGTGCGACCGCTAGTAGCCTAACTTCATGGAGTTACAGTTGAGATTTGGGTGCCAGCTAAGGACCGTGCGTAGCGGTCACCATTTGCATGGTGCAACCTACCACTCGTGCACGAGGCCTGTGATGCGGCCTACTGTTTTCGATGCCCTATTCACTTCAGGCATACTTCATGGAAGATTTGCGTAGACGTATTCTTTCTTTTATCCATGTAGTGACATAGTATGTTCTCTTCACATCTTATACCCGATGAAGTGGCATCCTTCGGTTTTAAAAGCGTTTTAAGACCGTGAAATGTCCAGTCATACAGCATCACATCAGCAAGTTTATTAATGCTGCTTATAAAGTAAAGAACATGTTCCACATCTAGTACAAGGTTTTATGAGCCCCAGATGACATCTTCCGAATAGTATATAAGAATGTATGATCTTCCTTACACGGAGCGTATACAGGTCGCATTTTGGAAACCATGAATGCAAGTCTAGCGGCAGTTCAGATCCAGGATTACTCGGACATAGAAAAAAGCCCATACAGAACTGAATGATATTCTTTCTTCACGTATAAGGTTTGGAGAAGACGTGACTCACTACCAAATAAATACAAGAAAGAATATTCTGTGTCTTTAAGATGTATTTGAATTTTCAAGAGCATCGAAAATCAGTGGAAAACGCAATCCACTTAAGTAGTCATTTTCACAGAGGCAGTTTATTCAGCCGACCGAAAGGAGGCTTGTTCGAAAGCCGGCATCCTGACGCGACGGAAATGTTTTGGAATTAGGCTGCACGGTAATTAATGCCCCAGCCCTACCCAAGTAATCTTTTCGAACCGAAATTACATTTCTGAATTCCCACACGTCTACTGTGCTTCCCCTACACTTCACCCAATTTATTATTTAGTAAATCAAAGGTATTTTTATTTTCTGCATGAGGTTCCTGCTTTAGGTTCTGAACTAGTCGAATGTTAATATTTCATGAGGCTGATTAGAGAGCCCATCGTCCAATAAATATTTCGTACGGCCAAATTAGATTCCCGGGACTACGGCTAGTGGGACATTAGAAAAGCACTTGCAGGCCAATCTCAGGCTGCGCTGAATTTAAAGCTATCTAATTTACTCCTTCGGGGCGTTGCATATGCCTATAAAAGTGAAAAAAAAACAATTAGAACACCAAGCATAACAAATATAAACCTCAATAATGTCACGGAAACAAAAATCTAACATTTAGCCTTTTGTGCTTTGTCAGTGCGTTTCATCACGCAGAGAAATATTTTCTGAAAATCATGCAGTTTATGTATGCAGTGCTAATTCTTAGAAATTAGTTCGTTATTCGCTTCAGGAAGCACGCAGGTGCCGTATTTCCCTGTAATTCTTCAACTACCTTCTCTCAATGTCGCGTTTGTGCCGAATATGCTCTCATTAAAGTACTTCGCACGCTCTTAACACTGGAGGTTTTTGCAAAATAACTGCAGCATCTCTATCTTAAGTTCATCAGAAAACGCCTTCAGTGAAGAACATACCAAACCCCTTAAGTTCATCTGATAAATAATTAATGTATTCACTGGTTACTCCCCGAGAAACAAAGGAGAGCCCGAAGAAAGTAGAAAATCTGTACTCAGACTAACAAAGTTGAGACGTTCAGGGTGATACTTTGAGAAGCAGGAAGGCCTACCGGAAGTGATTTATTGCACTGCAAACTTCTAGGAGTGGTTCCTCACTGTCAAAGTACACAATTTGTGACATTAAGCTTAACCTTGTTGCAGAGCAATGTCACCGCTCCCCACTACTAACAACCTACGTTTTTTCTGTTTCATCTCACAGGCTACTGAGTTCCCTGCTGGCCAATGGTTTACACGAAGGCGTAAACGGTAAGTATCACACTTTTGGAGTACTGCACCATTTCAGTACTAAGTTTTGAGCAAACGGTCTGCATGGACTCGGTTACTAGGTTGGGTAGGCCCTTTTTGTTGCGCAAATTTAAATGCTCGCGATAACGCAGAGAAAGTAGCCCCCTTGATTTATTCACTAAAATTTTCCCGCTTCTTTACTCTTTTCTCGCTTGAAACCACTACTGGCAAGGGCACGACTGAGTGGAAATGATATTTCGGTCTTGACTGTAACTGTTAGTCACTGACACAACCGTGGACGTCTAAGACACGAAATTTGAATCTGTCATTCTGTCAGGCGTCTTATTAGTCGAATCGCAGGCGTACGATCTGCCAGCAGTGGTCAGAATATTCCAGATGACACAACAAGATGACACGTCAGGGCTTCTATCTCATCTCATTTGCATGACCTCGATGAAACCCCAGGACGAGCACACTGTCGTCATTTACGCAGAGACGGTGGTCGATGTTCTTTTCTTCAAGAACCCCGGACTTGTATTTTTCTCCTTATAAATGTTTGGTCTCTCCGTCTTCTTCTACACGAACGTGGTCTAAAACCCGTCATTAGAGTACTCAGTGAGACCAAGCCGACATGCGCTCCACGGAGAGTAAAATCTCCGAGATTTTAATTGCACTTTCGCTTCAGTTACTGGCATCGATTTTATGAAATTCGCACGATCATGGCGGCCCAAAGCGACTACTAATTGTAACGTTTAACCTCCAAAGGAAGTACTGTTAAATGAGACCGCCCAAAATATTAATGGAGGGAATTTCGTGAATATTGTGTGCCGGAGGAATTCATAAAGATATTCAGGACGAGTGCCGGCAGACATCGGATATAACTAAACGTGGAGAAACCCATTTGACTAGCACACGCCAGGATCCGCAACATTACTCGTTTGCATTTGCGTTAAGTTTTTATGTACAAAATGGGTTCAACGCGACATGCAGACTCCAGATACCCTCGCCGCTGGCTATGGAATCTAGTTATCTGGCTTGCCGGTCGCACGACACCCGTCTGAGGACTCCTGTCTTTCCAAGTTGAGTGCAATCTTTGCTTCAGAGATGGTTCTTAACGGGTAGAAAACAAATGGAGGGTTAGGCGCACGCCGTTTACTTTATACTCCTTCACAGAAACCCACAAGGTGCAGACTCTCGCAACCCTGAAGTCAACAAAGTAGACGACCGTCTTTTGCTCGTCATTCATCGTCCAAAGCCAGGCAGGCCTTTGGCCTGCTAAGGCACTCCGTCCGGGACCGTCGTGGAACCCTACTCAACATAAAATTAAGGAAGTACAGGACCGTTGTCCGGACAGCGTTCTTGTACGAGGCGGAGACATGGAGTGTTTATAAAGGCCTAATAAGAAGACTCAGCCATTTCATATCAGCCGCCTCCGAAGAAAACTAAAAATAAAGTGCCAGGAAGGGTTCCTATAATACTCATCTCCCTTACGGAACTGACGTTCTTAGTACCCACACCATGATAAAATATATACAACTACGATGAGGCGGCCATGTCGTGAGGACGGACGATGAGCGCCTGTCCAAGCGGTTATTCCATTGCGACGTAGCTAAGGGAGGTCGCAAGTAAGGTGGACAAAAGTGTCGCTACAAGGATACCTCCATGACCTCACTTAAGCATCTACAGATCAAATCCGGAGACCTGGATGGGCCTCGCTTAAGAGCAACAGGCATTCGTAAAAACTGGAGCCGCCATCTTAGAACCCGGCCGAATAGACGCTGCCAAGGCAACGAGGAACATCTGTAAGGCTCTAGTGCTACGGACCATTGAGACCGGCACCAAGCCTCTTGCCATCGTGTTTGCACGGGCTACGGGCGTTGTGGGCACAGATCGGCCTCTTTGAACATCTGTGGACCCAGTACAATGTCAATACGACCAGCCCGCCTTTCATCTCACAAACAACCATCACAAGCACCACCAGTGATAACCCTCCTACCAACCTGGAAAACATTACCGTCAGTGCCTCTACCACCAGCACTGTGGACTTAATTTCAACTTGTCACCATTGCAATTAAACTGTCTCATCATGCATAGGCTTAATTGATCATAAGCTAATCCGCGGCACAGCGACCCAGCCAAACAGTTCACGAAACTCCGACATAAACTCGTCGCATAGTTCTCCTCTGCCTGCAGTGTCCCAGGACATTCAGACACCGCATGGCTCCAATTGACTATATGGGTATCCATATCGGCAGGATTCATCACAATATATCATGACATATCTTTCGTGTAAGGAGAAACGTATATTCCATTATGCCATTAAGAAAGTGCCATGTGAAACTCCTAAAGTGTTACAACGAATGCGGACTATGTTGCATAATTGCTGAGGAGCATTGCTAAACAGTCAAATACGAGGCTATTCGAATGGACATTGTATGGTCTCAAAAAATCTCATAATTAGCAACCTTTTAAATACCGAAAGGTACCCGGCCTTCAATTACGAAATTTGGATAGGACGTGATTTGCTACCAAACGGGTGCAAGGAATAATATTTTCGGGCATGTTTTCTGAAAAATAGTTTCGAATTTTTTAGGACGTCGGAGATCGATAGAGAAAATGCATACTACTAAACTAGTCCTTTTGACTGTGAGCAGTAGCTGAAGACGGCGAAAAGAAGTGCATTTAAACACCAACATCCTGACATGTCTGAGATACTACAGCATCGTATGAAAAGATAACCTGTATTACAATCCCGCTTAAGTAATCGTTCCTAATTGGAACCGCACCGGGTAACTGGTAAAGTCATCTTTCCAGATGGTGTGGACTATAATCTAAAATTATTTCATGCACAGATACCATCTGGTATCAAGAAGAACATCGTTCCGCGTGCACATACAAAACACACTGGGCCGAAGATCACAGATTAAAGAAGTTCTATCATTTAGTAACTTGCCACGCTAGCATGTACTCAATCATATGTCCTAAATGTACGTGACGAGAACTTATCTCATTTGACTCATGAAAATTCCGGCGGTCTCGATGATATTTAAATCCACGACAACAAGGGGAAGGCCAACGCTCTAACAACTTGAGCTACGAGGCCCACCGGGAGCCGTGAGTTTAATCCCATTTTGGCTCAAGCCACCCGTCCAGCCTACTGCAATGTATGAGACGGCTACACTACGGGCTTAACTTCTGCTGACTAAGATCACGAGTTTTCGGCAAAATGGGAGAGACATGCGCTATGTTCTCCTCAGCACACATAAAAAACAGGCAACTTTTCTTTTACCCAAAATGCGTATGCTTTCCCTGTTGGTAGTGAAAGGGGACATTTTTTACTACTGTGGAGTATCGAAGATCCCAATACATATGTAATATTAATCTGCTGTCTTCGGTTAATAATCGACCCCGGCCTAAATATACCAGAACTGTTGCGCTTCATGCGTGTATAAGGCCTCCGCCTCCGGCAAAACCCCACGACAGGAAACATGTGATGACGGCTTGTAGAGGAGGGCACTGGCGCGCATTCAGTCTCGAGGACAGCCAACCGCCGCTGTCCACAAACTCCGTAATCGTTCAGTCTATTCATTAAGCTGACGATGGCTCTTACAGGGTAATTATTCATGTGCGTCTACATCACCCATGTGGAGCGAGAGACGCCCAGGCCCACGAGCGGTCGTGCATCAGGTTCGCTGTCCGGGTTTCTGCATTCTGGTGTCTTTCGTCGTCTTCAAAACGGAACTGGATCTTGATTGTTGCGGTGGCTGCAGTACACCCATTACCTTATCAACTACAGAACTACATCGTCTTTCAGGCCTCCTCCTTACCTTTGACAAAGACTATGCATATTACTAGTGAGGGACTGCGAACTAACGAAGGCGAAAACCTCGACGTCATGTCAAGGTGGGATGAAAGAACGCCCGAATTCAACTGGCAGTTCTTCGCCGGCTGATGGCGTGACTGGTCAATCCACCGTCAGCTGTATCAGTAAAGTTTAAAGTGTACTTGATAATCTGGCCAATGCTCAAAATTCCGAGGTTTGCTTTCAAAGAGTCCCTTCAGCTTTAGTCGCAACACCTCCCTAACCAGCCATTCCTCTTTGCGTTACAGAGTTTGCTGGGCCATAAATTTTGACTTACTTTCATCAGCTTGGAATTTTTTCTAAAAACTGAGCATTTCTATCTTGCAGCTAATACTTTCTGATCTGTACACTATACGTATACAGTATCCGAAGCCAAAAGATGCCGACTTCCTACTGGTGAAGTAAAAATCCTTTGGGGAAACGAATTTGATAAATGTGAGGGGTTTTCTCGTTCTGACGCGAAAGCTAGCAGCGCAGCCAGTCTCCTGGTAGTTTTCTTTCAGCAGACTAGGGCCAAAATAAAGATAGTACAACTTGCACGCACACAGGAGTTTGCTGAAAACCCACACTCTGCACTCAAGAGAAATACATCAAATCAATTCCCACTAAGTCTACATCAACTGCTTTTATCGTAAATTGTTTTGCTCCAACTACAAATACTTTGACCGCCACAAAAACCATACGCCGAGTACGTCGGCATTTCCAAAGTACACAACTTTCCACCACCATACGTGATATTGATACCGGTGTGCACTCTGGTCAACCGTATGTTCCCTGTTTGCGGGTGATGAATAAATTTTGGAGCGCTATATTTGAAATTAACCTAAATTACTTTCTCTGAGAATTCAATCTTCCTGTCTTCCAAACCTCAAATTCCGAGCTGGAAGCAGAAGTTTTGGGCAGGAGTACAAAGCATAACCCACTTGAATAATACTCGATACTTTTAACCATCTGTTCTTTCTTCGGCAAGGATTGAATGTGTGAGCCCAATGAGAAAATAGAGCACCGGGGCCCCCGCAATACGGGCAGGTTGCTAATATTAGTTTCATCAGTAGGTCAGACGGACGCGGCAGTTGAGGGAATAGGCGGAAAGCACTGAGAAAACTCGAATTTCTGACATGTGTTTGTTTTATTATTCCAACGAGTTGTCGGAACACACCGCGTACTTTTAAAAATTGCGTATTAGGGGGTGTGTGAATGGACGAGAGACAGGTAACCAAGGGTGATTGGTTAAAGAAGGCTGGATTGGGTAAGACGACGGTATGCGACAGGCCAAATTTATCTTAACCTTAAACCCTTCTCCAACTCTAATCCTTAACCTAACCCTTACCTCAAACCTAACCTCGACCCTAGATTTAATCATTTTCTTTAGTCAGCTACGTAAACCCGGTATAGCATGCCTACTAAAGTCAAATAAGTTGTCATGTTATAGTATTGAGAACACGGGCTTACATATTCATTCATTACACCTTTTCGTTTTGATTGACGATTTAGTTCATTAAGCTCCGAAGCCAACCAAGAACTAACCACAGTTTTTTCTACTAGAGGCAGGACACCAGTTGACTTTATAGTCAAATTAATGCCCTACCATGCACACATTTTCGTCATTTTTATTTATTTCAGGCGACCAGCAGTCCGTGGTCATGAAAGCTGCCCTCACAGCAACCGCTACCGTAGAACCCTTGACTCCGGAATACTTCTGCCAACAGTTCACCCAACTGCAGATATCTAACGAGGCGGAAGCCCTCCGCGCCCAACTGGCCATTTCGGAAAAACGGCGGAATGACCTTGAAAAACGCCTAGCAGAAGCCACCTCCGAAGTGGCGCGTGCACAGGCTGAGAGCCGAGCTAACGATGCTGCATTGACGGCCTCGCGTAGAACCGAAGCGGCCCTACGACGCCGTCTCCTGGCCGCAATGGACACCGGACTAGGATCACGGGACCGTAGTAATCGGCCCACCTCTACAGTGGAGTTCGGATACCTCGAAGTCGGCAGCGAATCCCCCTCAAAGGAAGAGCTTGAATCCCGGGCTAATGTACGTCCTTTGGGAAAACGGATTTTCAAACTCTTGTTTTTTTCTGATACAGCTTACGAACTTTCATATTAATAGTCAGTATTTGGGCCCGGTATTCTGTCCAGTCTGAGGTGTGAAGATAGAAATCGGGTGCCGCCGGAACCCACAGTGTGAACAGGCGTGCATCAGTTGGTCTAAGTCTTGTCAGTCTTGGCACCTCTCACGTAAGTGATGAGTGTGCTTGTCGACTCCTTCTACATGTTGCTCCTCTACTACATGTGTGATCCGAGCCTATCAGGGTGCGCCAGGGTGCCGACTGACGCCTCAGCTTAATTCACGTAGTCTGCCCAGTCGCGTGTGTTTGTGTGGAGTGGCGGACTGATGGGCTGAGAGGCATACTGCAACGGCTCCTTAACGTGAACTCCGGCACTCTCACGCATGTGAGATGTATGCCGCTCACTCCCTGTTGTGCGAAATCCTGGTGATTGGGTTTGGCGGAGCATTGGGGTCCCTGCCGACCCCAAATGCTGTTGGTTAAAATCCTGGGCAAGTGTTTTTTGTGGACCAGGGGGTACGTCTAGATGCGGATTGGGCCCTGGTCTCTCTCGCCTCCGGTCTTCTGAACTATGTCTTGACACCGGGCTCAGGTGGAAGAGGAGAGAGTCCGGCAGATGCAGCATAAGTCAACTATCAGTGTAAAATAAATCACGCGCAATTCACCGTACCTGTTTTCACCTTGCTGTGGAACACACGGTGGACATTGTCGGCAACGACGGTCGAACTATCAAGTGGTGTCAGTCTACCTGGGGAGTAATGAGTGCGTGGACCTCAAGGATTGTAAGCGTCTGCTATGCCAGGATCAGCAAACTATTGCCCTTGCAGCCTGGTGTACGTCGGCAGTTCCATGACTCCCTGTTCCCTGCCGGTAGATGCGCTTGCGCTCCCGCTGGTATGCTGGTCGTGAACATGGTTGCCCAGTTACTCCTCTTTCCGACCCTTTGTGGGGCTGTTGTTGGTCAGAATCCTAGTCAAGTGCTTGTTGTGGGCCAGGGAGTGTGATGGTACGCCTAGGTGCAGGTCCGGCCATGCCAGCCACCTGCACCCCCCACCTCCGGTCTTCTTGACCATGTATTGATGCCGGGCCCGGATGGGGAGGACGGGATTCGCTAGATTCTGTGCAAGTTCACTCTCACTACAAAGTAATTCACATGCAAGTCCACATGGTGAACATCGTCAGACACGACAGTCGAACTGTCCACTAGTGCATATCATTTAACAGTCTGCGCAATTTGCGAAAGAGGCCAGTGTACACTTAATTCAGGGGTTCTTCTGTTTCATTCTCGGTAAGTTAGAAGGATAGTGTGCCCCCTCTACGCTATGCTTCGCAAAGCATGACCATTACGGCCTTTTGTGGGCTAGAAGTCCATGGGCGCCTGGTTCACTCTCAGTAAACATTCTTGCATTCCATCCGTGTCTCCAGGTCGTGTGTTTGGTTGCTTGTGATACTTGTCTGGTTTTGGGCCAGGGGTTGGCTCCTGATTGTAACATATGGAGGAATTGTAGGCGTGCCCATCTAATCATCCAGACTATTCGATCAGGTGCTCCTGCTTGTTTTACTATACCGACAATCGTGCACATATTGGGCATGTCGTGCCTAGATGTGTTCTGTTAAGAATGTCTATCCGTGCTTCTGTGTACACTTACTAGGCGTCCTAGTGACGGATATGTTGACCTTATTGCTAACCGTCTCTACAACGTATATCTGCAGCCATGCCCACTGTTGTGTGCGTAGTCGACTACTGCTCGCACAGTCTTTGAGAGATTCGGGGCGGTAGATCGGTGACTCCTGTTAAGTATGTGCTGGCTGCTACTTCGTTTGCTAATTCTCACAGCTTATATACACTTCTGCGAACTGTATGGTTGATCCAGCCAGCAGTTATTCTTGCTTCATGGATAAGACCATGCCTATCTAGGGGAATGCCTTCATATTATGAACCTGCGAACGGCCTGTTAAATCGTCTGGGGTTTAGGATTATTAGCGTTAAATTGCCGTCTGTGCATACTACCTGGTCAGCGAACCTGACGCACGGCCGCTCGTGCGCCTGTGCTTTCCTCGCTCTACAAGGGCGATGTAGACACACATGTGTAAGTATCCTGTGAGAGCCAGCGTCAGCTTAGTGAATTGATTAAGCGATTACGGAGTTTGTGGATGGCGGCGGTTGGCTGTCCTCGAGACTGAATGCGCGCCAGTTCCATCCTCTACAAGCCGTCATCACATGTTTCCTGTCGTGGGGTTTTTGCCAGTGGCGGAAGCCTTATACACGCATGAAGCGCAACAGTTCTGGTATATTATTGCCGATGTCGAGAATTAACCGAAGACATTAGATGAATATTACATATGTATTGAGATCTCCGGTACTCCACAGTAGTCAAAAATGTTCCCTTCCACTACCTACAGGGAAAGCGTACGCATTTTGGGTAAACTAGAAGTTGCCTGTTTTTTGTGTGTGCTGAGGAAAACATGGCGCATGTCCTTCCCATGTTGTCGACAACTCGCGATCTCGGTCGGCAGGAGTTTAGCCCGTAGTGCGGCGGTGGGGTCGCTGCCCGACGATTAACTTACGCGTTTTTAAACGTCACGCGCGCGGCCTGGGATTAGGGCGTCACCAGTCGATTTGGGCAGCTAAGTCAGAAGTGACTATTTAAGCAGCCGTTCTAAGTGACTGAATCACCGTTACTGTTTATATGATATTCATGATTAGCCCATATAATGAAGGGCTCTTCTCCACTATGAGGGCACGGAGTTGCAGTCTAAGCCTGGCAGACCCAATATCTGTCCGCTTTGGCCAACCCTTCGGAAATTACAAGTAATCAGAAGTTTCGTTAGTAACAAATTTACTTGCCTATTACAAAATATATGCGTCTATTTTAATCTCGCTTAATTCTGGTGGAGTTTGAACCGTCGTCTATCGAGTTTCAGCAGTTTAGAGCGCGAAATCCCTTAGGTTTCTCATATTTTAAATGCGACGTTGCGACCCGCGTAGCTCCCTCTTCTTCTCTAGACTGCAAAAGCATTTTTAGATAATCACATAATATGGTAAGCTTTCCCGGGGAAGGTTCTTATCGTTTTTGCCAGTCGATTTAAGCAACTTACGTGTATACAAGTCGCTTACCCTCTCGACAACTCGACCGGCGCAAACGACGGCGTCCAGCGCGTGCCGCACGGAGTGAGCACGACACCGGTGAGTTAGACGTGAATTAGTTTGCGGTGGGGTAGACTTTCGCCGTATCTACTGCACTCTCTTCTCCGCACCCACCTTGTTCTGATGACAAAGCAATGTCAGGACGATCGGAGGTGGACGTGGATACAGTGGTTGAGAAGGCTAGACAGCCCGTATGAGCCTGCACCGGGGAGGCTTTAGATGTTCCAAGGTACAACGATCGCCATCCGTAACGAGATCGGTGCGCGTCGCTCTATTATGCTTCAGTATCCGAACTCACATCATGCACATTGCCATAAAAGCTACAACTAGAATAGGTCATTACAGCCTGACTTTCATTCCTGAAGGGACCGGGGTTACCTCGTCAGTTGGCAACCTTCAAAGTCACGACTTCTAGTCCACCGTGACGCGAGTTTTATTTTAGTGAGAGATACGTTGCTTAGCCTTGGGAAAGAATTGCCTCCGCTGGCATGAGTCGCCTGTCCGAGCTGGTGAACCAACGGATGATGAGATTTGGATCAGTGGCCGACGTGCTTTTAAAGCCCATGTCGAAGACGCGCCAAATGCATGCACAGCAGTCGTTGGGGTCTCACGCGAACTCAGCGCAGTCTAGTAAATGCGTGCCGCTGGGCAGTCCGACTCTGCTTTTTGTCCAGCTTCTCTGCAGGGGGGATATGCTGTGCAAAAAACTGGTGTATGTTTGTTTTGTATACGGGGTCCTCTTTTTTGGCAGGAAAGCGCACTGTGCTGGCTTATGAAATTGCAATTCTAATACGTACATGTGCAGTAGGCGTGCTATCTCGTGAATTGTTAACCGAAATTCTACAATACAGTAGGTGGGCTAACTCATGAAATGTCTACCGAAATTCCTAAATGCGTTTTCGTTTCGAAAAGGTTAATTAAGTAGGGTTGTAAAACTAGTCAGTCTGCAACATAATTTTATAATATTTCAATTACGTCAGGATGCTGGCTTTCGAATGAACTTCCTTCTGGCTGCATGCAAAGACTACACTCTGTAAAAAATGACTACTAAAGTAGCATGAATTTTTCTCATTGATTTTCAATGCCCCATAAAGTCCAATTATATTTCCTGGAAAACATACATAAAAATATTCATCCTTTTGCTCATTCGGTAGACAATTACGCCTTCTTCTAATTTTATGCTCGAAGGAGGGATATGATTCGGTTTTCAAAAACTTTTCCAATTCCCGAATAATTTTAAACCCGTTCTACCGTTACACTTGGAGTTAGGGTTTCCAAACTACAAGCCGTGCGTTTTTCGCGTATGGAAAACCACACATTTCTCTACGGTAATAAAGAGGGAACATGCAGAGTTCATAAAATTTAGAAGTGGATTTGGTTCATATTGTTAACTTTACAAGCCACACTGGTAAATGCAGAGACATGATGATTTATGAACGGCCATCTCACGCTATGTAAAAGTCCCGCAATTAGAGGCTTTTTTAAAAACGAATTATGTCCCTCCTTCGAGCTTAAAATTAGACGAAGACGTAATTATCTACCGAAAGAGCAAAAGAATGGATATTTTTATGTATGTTTTCTATGAAATATAATTGGACTTTTGGAGGTATCGAAAACCAATGAGAAAAAATCATGCTACTTAAGCACTCATTTTTTTTACAGAGCAGGGTTTTCGCATGAAGCCGGAAGGAAGTTGTTTCGAAAGCCGGCATCCTGAGGTAACTGAAATATTATAGAACTATGTTGCTGGCGGACTAGTTTTACAACCCTACGTAATTAATCTTTTCGAAACGAAAACGCATTTCGGAATTTCGGTAGACATTTCATGGGTTAGCCCACCTACTGTACGTTTTCAATTCGACAAGATTACTGAATTAAGTTTGTAATACTAATTGTCATTTCGCACAATGTTAAGATATTCCAGTCACTTCAGGATGCCGGCTTTCGAACAAGCTCTTTATCGACCGCCTAGGTAAACGGCATTCCGCAAATAATGGCTACTTAGGCAGTGCAACTTTTTTCCATTGGTTTTTACGCCCTTATGAATCCAAATATATCTTATAGAAAACAGACTTTCGTTTTTAGAAAATTCATAATCATGAGACTTTTCAAGATGGTATCTGCGTATATATTAATGCCGCCCATAAAGCGGACAATGTGGTTCACATGCATTACAAAATTATATGAGCCCAATATGTCCCCTTCATAACAGCATATGTAAATATATGATTTTCCTTGCACGGAAAGTAAACAGCTCGTATTTCGGAAACCCTGGATGTAAGTGTAACAGAAAGTTAGATTCAAAATTATTCAGAAATTGAGAAAGTCTTTAAAACAGAAAATCACTCTTTTTCAGGCACAAAATTTAAAGGAAACATACTTTGCACCTAAATGAGTAAGGAAACGAATGTTTTTATGCATATTTTCTATAAAATATGTTTCGATTCATAAGGATATAAAAACCCATGGTAAAAATTCGCACTGCATAAGTAGTCATTTTTAGGAAATGAAAAGTCTCATAATTATGAATTTTCTAAAAGCGAAAAGCACTCTTTCTTCAAGTAAAAAAATTAAGGAAAACTTAATTTGCTACTGGGCCAGTAAAAAACCAAATATTTTTCGTGCTGTTTTCTAAAAAATATATTTGGATGCATGGCGGTGTAAAAACCAATGGAAAAAATTCGCACTGCATAAGTAGTCTTTTTTTAGGGAATGTAGTTTACACAGGCGGTCGATAAAGAGCGCGTTCGAAAGCCGGCATCCTGACGTGACTGCAATATCTTAACATTGTGCGATGCAGTAACCAGTATAACAACCCTTCTTAGGTTATCTTTTCGAATTAAAAACACATTTCATGAGGTAGCATATTAACTGGCTGCGGAAGTTGCCTGGCACTTGCCTAAGGACATTGCCCGGTCGTTCTCAGTTAGGTGCTAAGCTCTTTAATTCTAATTGGCTAGATCAGGTGTTACGCGGTGTCCACACTCTCTCCCTAGGTCATTCGCTTAGAGGCCCAGAATGCAGCCCTGCTCGAGGCCAGTCATCTGGACCGTGTGCGTCTACAGGAGCAAGCAACGAGAATTGCGCAGCTAGAGGCAGAGCACCGAACTCTGCATGATCGTATGTCACACCTGCAGGCCTCGGAATCATGCGCCCAGCGGGCTAGCGTGCGCCTCCAGGTAAGCATAATAATTCCTTGTCGCTTACATCTTAGTATAATTTTCATGCAGACCACGTTTAAAATGAAAGCGAGCATATGAAGTTTGCACTTCAAGCATCCTTCTTTCACCAAAAGGCTCTTTACGAAGACATGCTGCGTGAGTTCTCCGAGGCCTCCACGCAGGATGCTACGCTCCGAAGGCGTCGACGTCAGCAGCAGCAACAAACTGCCATGGAGAACATGAATTATGCTGACTTGGTTTCAACTCAGTGGACCAATGAGCATGATAGTAATGATTTAGTAAGTGTTTATCACGATGAGTTGCATGCATTCATTTATCTGCATTTAAGTCACCAAGTGGTTTGGAGATATTTGAAATGTCTGTCGAGCGATTTTTATGTTAAACTCTAGCTGGCAATCAACCGTTTCCGGCGTTACATTGTAAGTGAGCGCTGGCTTCAGCAGTCCTGTCTCTGAGGATGGGTTCGAGTGAGAATCCGAAACGTCAGGCCAATAAATGTCTTGTTTCAGTGATCGCATCTTCGTCTTCTGAAAAAAAAACAATTCTTCAAGCGTTACGAACCCACTCGTCCCGTTGTGCTTTGGGACGTTTTCCCGATCCCGGCCTAGCAGCCGCACAGTGGCGCGTAATATAGGCAGAATAGAACTACCGACAAAGACTGGATTGGCCATTTCTGGTTTGGTATCCGCCATCAACCTGCCATGTCCAACCGCGAGGTGTGGAACACCCGGAGGCTCGATCTCACGACCTGTTGGTTAGAAGTTCAGCCCCCTATACACTGCACAATTTTCAGAGAACACAATGGCAATTTCAAATATCCGCTGTGTAGTCTGGAATTAGAGTATCCTTGACTGATGAGGCCTACTAAACCAACAAATATTCATTACTGTAATGGTGTAGTGAGCGGGATCACTGGCTAGGTTCGTTAGGAGACGAGAGTAGGTTGGGACGGTTGGAGGGCGAAAGGCTCAGGCAAGGATTAATGGATTAACCCGGGTGTGCGGTCGGCGCGGGCTGTAGAACTAAGGCTTTTGTAGTTGCCGCATGCATGACCGTAACAAATTTTGCACATCGATACATCTGGTAGAGTAATTTGAAGATTTTATTTAGCTCCTACTCATTCGGTTAGCTAACGCAGCGCAGAAGGATTAAGTTAGAAAAAAAACGCTCTTTGAATTCGCTTTTGCTAGCCAGGTCAACAGGTGGTCTTTGATATCTCCAGAAGGACGGCTGCTTGGCTGACTTGGTTATTTCGCTTCACAAGAATGGGTGACAGTTCAAACGTCAAGTCCGACTATGTCGGCCGTCGTGCTCCACAGCATGGTGGACGCAAGGACGGTGACTTGCGCGTGAATTAGCTCATAGTAATAATTGACTTGCACAGCATCTGCCGCACTCCACTTCCCCGCCCACCTCAGCCCGATATGAAGACAAAGTCAAAAAGACCGCAGGCGTGATCTGGCGCAGGTGGCTGGCGCGGCGTGGGCCCGCACCTAGGCATGCCACCACATGCTTGTTATGGGTGTGTAGCTGAATAATGCCTGTCGCGTCCTGATCTGGCCCCCGGTGTTGGTTCAGCGTGTCTGCCTCGGACCCGTTTTAGGGACAAACAAGAGCAGGTAGCGGCATATGCATACATGGATGTGGTCTAAAAAAGGTGTGTATCTTTTCCATCGCCGACATGAACCGAGAAGTGATGGAAATTCTTTGTTGTGGATAGTGGTATTTGGGCAGCATTCCCGTAAATCCGCTAGAAAGCATTTGCCTGCGACCGCGTCTTCGCTTATGTCTACGGGTTCTAAACCTGCTAGTAAGTAACAAAGTAAGATGACTACCAGTGTAAACTTCTGGGACTGGTTCGAGCATTTCTGGTTCCGGTGGTTGATCTACCACCGACGACGTATAGGGAACGGAGAGACCACCCATCCGCGCATAATATGCCTTCCTCTCACCCGCAATTCGCTTGTAAATTGTGCTCCCATGAAAGCCATAATACTTGCGCTTCGTGACTACTTTCATTGATGGGCATAAAACAACATAAAAAAGTTTAACTACACTTTAAACACTCACTGTGAGATGAAAATTGCAATTAAGTTAATAAACCTACTTGCATAACATAACAGAGACTAGCAATGGCGTAAGTAAGACCATAAAGGCGCGAAGGACATGAAATCGACGTGGGAAAACGTACCACTTCGTCGGGAGTGTCCGGCCGAGCAGCAGAAAAATGGCTTTCAAGTGGCCCACTTAAACAAAAGCACCCTAATCGGCTTATCCTGGCAAATTACCATCCCCATACCATTGAGGACTCTAGGCACCTTCTGGATAAATTAACGCATATTTAGGTAAATGCGGAACATGTGAACACAAAAGATTTCGCCTAATCGACTGAAATGACTCTTGAACTTTCTTAAAATATGGCCTGGCCATTGCCACGTCCAGCCACGCTTGGCCACACCTAGAAGACGGGGCCACGTGTGGGCGGGGAAGCTATGCAGTTCCGCGGCCGGAAATTTCTTAAAACAAGTTGCAGTTTGGGTGTTTGCCTGACACATCATCGCTCCGCGGTAGACCAACGGACATGTTTTTCGCCCTAACCACAGGAATATAGATTATCTTCTTACATTTTTTCTTCTCCGCACAAATGCGCTCAATTAGATGGAAGGTGTTTCGAGAGTGGGTTTTCCAGGAGCTGTTAACTGTTTTTATGGTCTTCTCAAACCGGTTCTGTGTACACAGCTGGTTTTATTGTGTTTGGATATTTATGTGAAACTCTACTTTGCTCTCATCCTGAGACTAGAAGTTTGTGTATTAACTAGTGCAAATCCCCATATACCAGTATTGTGCGTGTACATGTCTAAACCAGTGATCATTTTGCCTATGATGCTATTCTGCCCTGAAAGATTTATCCTTTAAAAACTCCAAATTTCTATTCAATTAAAGCCACCGGTTGGTCTTTGCCAATCGAGCGCCTGCGCTGAACTCCGTCGAGTGCTTTCAGCTCTGCAAGAACGTTTCATTAAGACCTCGGAGCAGTTGGTGGAGGCGGAGGCAAAGCTAGCGGACTTTGAAACTGAAAAACTAAAGCTTGAATCGAAACAGCAGTTCGGCAAACTCCCAGTTCCGATCAAGGCAGACACACAGGATGCCACTAATCCGGCCGGTCTGCAGCTGATTGGGGCATTGCAATTCTTGCTGGATAGCAAACGCCGCCATCTACAGAAGTCGCTGGAACCACCGACCTTGGCATGCAGCGACTCCGAGATCTGTTTCCATCTCTTGAGATGTTTGGAACGCTGGATAATCTCACGAACAAATCGGGCGAAACTTATCGAGGCAATGTTAAGACAACGGGTGCTGGACTTGCAACTCAGCCTCTCCGACAAGGTTATTAAGTTACCTTTTCAAGCAAAATTATTTAAATCCATGGACTTCTATGCTTAAATTACTAGATCAATTTATGCTTGCTGCTAAACGAAAAACGAGTCACATGAAAGTGTCGTTCCGCAACTCATCCTGATTGCAGAATGGTATACGGTCGTTCAACTGCGACTGGAGATCCCGTTTTGAGCCATTAAAGAATCTCTTGTCGTAGTTGGTAACGCCTCAATCATTTCTGCCTTGTCAGTCTGCTATCGCCTAAATAGATGCCAGATTCTTGTCTTCTACTGTACCTTTAAAGTGTAAACGTCGCATTGTTATTTATGGTTCGTTGAAGCGCTAAGTCCTGATCGGATCCGATCAGTTCCAGTTCTCTTTGAGAAATATACGTTTATTGTTATTTTCGAGGGTATTGTCTCAAGAAATTCCAGCTCAGGTTTGAGTGCCCCCTACGAGTTGAACTTTAATATCATTTCAGGGATGAGGGTTGGCACTTGAGACTGTGAGTTTTGCTTTCTTGCGTTCCAATAATGCCTTATATGCGACTACAGAAGAATTTCCTTTGGACACTGTATGTGCGACAATAAATTTGGGCAACTCTTTTACTCACTAATTCAGCAACGCGTGCAGAGATTTAGAACCCGACGTTTTCGACGACCCGGCCGCTACCGATGCCCGTGTATTTTTCCACTAGTTCTTCAATTTGCCTGGCAAAAAGGCTTTTGTACAGGAGGTGACCTGGTTGATGAAAGATGTCGGGATTTACGAATGATTGCTGATCATTCGTAAACCCACACCAATGCATGGGCCCACTATCTATATTAATAAAGAACAACTTGAAGGGAATTGAAACATAAAATAAATATTAGAGGTAGTATTACATTGTTTAGAAATACCAACTCTCTTAGAAAGGCGAAAAGTTTTTAAAACGTCAAAAGTGGCTGTAATTGAGTAAGTTTCAGTTTTAAATGTACAGTGTCTGTCTATGCAAAAAAACTAGGAAAATATGATAGGAAAAATGGAATAACGTTCAAGAGTTGTATTTTGGTTAACTCCACGCCGAAATATCTTTGAAGAATTAGTGTTATGTCATGCGTGGCGTTTGCCAACAGCCTACGCCTAAATTGGTCTCTACTTATTAGACAAGCCACCGCCAAAAGTTTTCTGCGGCATTCGGGGATTAGCTCTTCTGTCAAATTCCCCCACATTTTTCAGGATGACTTTTAACGTGGAGGCATTGTAAAATAAGACTGTTCAACAGTTCGGAGGCAACTTTGATTTAGCGCGAAAGTCCCTACCAACTGTTTTGAATCCCGAAGCAGGTAGGTAAGGCTATTTGTCCGTGAATTTATATTGGGAAATACTAAGCTTAAATGACTCAAATATTGAACGGTTCCCCATACTGACAACGCGGATATCAACTAAAACCCTGGCGCATTCAGCCGAGTTAACGTAGCCGCGACGGAGTCTGCCTCGTCAGTTGCTCCCCCAACTTGGTCCGTGCGCTCTCCGCAACATACTCCGTCTCTGCCAACAAGTAGCACGAGCAGTATTTTTTGCCTGTTTACTTTCCTGTCGTCATTTCTAATGAAGGTAATTCTGCATTGTCAGCAAATAATACCCCCCTGTCACAACCCTCTGTGACTAAAGTTAGGCTGTCGGCAGTTGTATCACTGCCTCCATTAAGTCCTAGATACCTTTGCGCCTATAGACACCAATATGACCACAGTGAGCCTAAGGCATTGTTTAAAACAAACTCCGAAGAGTAATGTAATGCCCTTTTACCTTGCAAAGGAGCATGCTGACGGGGCATCGTCTGCGCTGCAAGAAAGCCTTAACGCCCAAAAGCAGGAGGTCATGGATCTGTACCAGCGGCTGGATCAGCTGCAAGACGAACTTGAAGTCACAAAGGCCTGCTGTGGCGGTCAGGTAGGTGGTCCGCATCGTATGCATTCTGTGATTCCAACTGTCTCCCGCGAGATGTGTGGTATTTCCTATGTGCAACATGTGTCTTTGCTGCATGCAGCAGTGTAGTATCAGTTCACACATAACAACTGTCTTTGTTGCTTAACTGTTAGGACCAAAGCCCATAGTTTTCATTAACTTGCACGCAAACTTACATGTTTACGCGTGGTGTGACTGCGTCCTACATGCTAGTTATGAGCTTAACTGCCAACTACTTTTACCAAACATTTAGCCTTCCCAACCCTGCCGCGTACTTGAGAGCTTCGTTGACCTCGTAGACACAGTATGAGTCTTGGGCACGCATCGACCATTTCCCCCCTGGAGGATTTAATCGCACAATGTAGGCATTCTTATTATAACCTCAATGTCAATGACGAAGACATGCTCAGCCTTTCTGTGGGTGCTTCTACAGTATTTGTTTTTGCCTAGGGGATGCCTGTGTGGCTAAGCGAGTATTCGTCTCTCGATATTATTTTCATGTCACGGAAAATAAAGTTACACAGATGTACATATACTTATTTGTAAGTTTGGAAACGCTCGTGCTTTAGGGAAAAAAAGTTACTTATTCACACCCTGTTTCGCATGATTTGCATGCGCCGAAGAATTGACTTTGAAGATCGCGATAGCTGTGTTCACGAACTTTCATCGCTTGGTCTAACATGCACGCAAACATGCGGGGTTAGTGCTCCGTTGCTATTCACAGGAAGTCATCTGGAATTAGAGAAATGTCACCCTTCCGACAACGAGTACTGCTTTTTCCTGCAAAAACTGGATTCAAAAGGTGCACTATGTATTTAAAAAAGTGTTTTACGCAAGATTTTGACATAGTGAATGAATGTCATGCAGTCTAGGGTTTATTCAACCCCTCTGGCCATTTGAAGTTCCGTTGTTTTGTTTGATTGATTTCGCCACCTACTGGTTTAAGGCCTCCTGTGCCTGCTGTTTACCCTTCTCTCTACTTCTGTGGATACATGGCGTTTAGTTTTTTATAAAAAAGGTTTTCTTACTCCTTTCCCGCCTACATCAGAAATTTATACCTTATTTGAAGGCAGGTAATAATTCAATATTAAGTCGTACTGATTGCGAAAACTCAGTCGAGCGGTATTCAAACAGGATGAAGGAAACAGAAGCAGAGGCCAAAAACACGGCCCCATCTGATAAACCGGAGAACCCTTAATAGTAACCGTAGCCAAACCCTAGACCATAGTTCTAGACCCTAACCCTAAACTTCTTACCCCCAAATACTAACTTTAATACTAAACCCTAAATCCCTAACAGTAATTCTACTCCCTTACTCCAACCCTTTCACTAAACAAAAGCCCATGTACTGTAGTCGATATTTATACGAAATTCGCAGCCAATTGACTTGGAAATGACTAGATCGGGTCGCGTTTTAGGCCTCTGGCGAAACAGGTGTGGTAGTGACTATGACAATAGGTTTTATCACCACACCCAACATTGGGGAATATTGTTTTTATGTTTTTTGTCTCAGTCTGCAAAGTGTAATCTTCAATGCTTTCATACGCCCTTTGTTCGTATTATGATGTTCACTTACATCAGCTGATTTCCGTCGGCTTTTTTCTCAATATCGCCAGAGGTATATATTTTCCGACGAAGTCTATAAGCAGGTGTAGTGTTAAAATCAATACCAACATTACTAAAGTCTGGTTCGGTCTCTGTTCCATTTTAAGCGTATTAAGGAAATTTTAATGGGGAAAAACGGGGAGCGCTAACACCCTCATTAAAAGGGACCCATTGCAACCTGACTTCTAGTCCCGAACGGGTCTGAGTTACCCCCTCATTTACCAACATTTCAAGTCACAGCTGATAGCACCTCGCAGTAGATGCCCGTGCGACAGATTAATTACGTTAGAATGCTCCGATTTGACGTGAAAATGAATTCTTCCTCACGTTCAGCCTTATTCTCGTTTTCCTTCTCCGTGCACCAATCGACTGCCCGAGTATGGTAACCCAGGGGTGATTAGATTGAGCTACATACAGATCGTCATCTAGTGAACCAAAGCCCGAGCTCTTGTCCTTTTGACTAAACATCTGGCGTTGCTTCGCACTCGCTTCGCATTAATAACAAATTATATCCATCCATCTGCTATCCAAGAATGCCAATGTCAGAGTCTTGGCAAATCTGTGTGTGGTTATTAGGAAGAATTAGGATGCGAAAGGAGAGTTCACTGTTGAAGAGTAGACGTGCACACCTGAGTTCCCCTGTGGTCGTTTACTGAAATTCAGGGATTCAGTAGTGTCAGACGATAGTGCATACGTCGTAACTCTTAGTGTTGTCATAGGTGGCAGCCAAACATAATGTAGAATAAACGGGAGTTTCGTCATTTGCGAAACCTCTTAGAGTGGGGGTTTTACTGAAGGTCGAACATATACAGATAAGCTCAGGACATTTAAAGCATCGTACGCTATTCCCATTGTAAAAGTTTTATTTATAGATTAGCAAACAAGGTACGCCAACACCGATGCTTTGTTTTCGCGATAAAATGTAGAAACCGACTCGGAGTCATGACAGTAGTATCTGCATGTGTGCACGTCCAAAACGATTGGATCGTTGAAAATAGGGAACGAGAGTAGCTGAGGCACCTATTTGTGGATATCGTGTGCAGGAAACTTTTAGGAATTTCGCACAACTTTTATTTGAATGAGTTAAGTTGTTTGTTAGAAAATAATTAACGCTAACCCAACGAGGGGTCATAAAATACTTAGTTTTACGACATAAAACTCGGCTGAGAATGTCCCTTTGCATTTACCCAACAATTAATCTCTAAGTTATTTATAATATATTGCGCCTATTTTCCTTACGGACAGTTTACAAAACAAATCAAATATTTCTTTTTGTAATCGGTATTTGCATTTAAATCACCTTCTAGAGTGCCAAGCCCAACCTTCCCCCATCTTTCTCGAACCAAGCAGCATCGTGAACTGTCCTGATATCCCAGTCACTAGTTCCAACCGTTCCGCACAGCCAACATTGCTGATATTAAGAGAATTACTTCACTGCCCCGCCCCCCTCTTTTTATACTTTTCACGTCACTCTAATTTATGCGTCGTATTGCCTGCAAGCGAGACTTGTGCAAATACGGTGAATGCCATCTGCGTAATGGCAATCATCGCCTTTTGTTTGTCTTTTTTATTCTTTCCCTCAACGTAGCTAGTCCCCCCCTGGCATTTCTCTGGCCGCCAATAAAAAAGTAGAAAATGCTGTGGACGGATCATATACTGCCTGCCCTTCATATTGCATTTCCCATCGCCGGCACGAAATCACATAGACGTTCGCCGATATGCATTTCTTTTTATTTCGTGTCTGCTATTAAAGCTACCTAAGCACTGTGCTCTGTTAAAAATTGATCGATAATTCCGTCTTATCATGTTTTCATGTGGAAGTTTTTCTAAACGTATAAGGGCTCGAAGTATTTATAGTCCGACTACCCAGAAAACGTATCGTGTCTGTTGACTTTTTGAAGGATTTTTTCTAGAAATTACATTTTTGCTGTAGTGTATTTTTAGAGAAGCTATGGTATCGACAGAATATTGAGCATTCGTTATGGTATTTCTGAAACGGGCTTTAAAATGCCAGTAGAGGGAGTAAGACTGGACGCGAGACCAAAGACGCCTCTACTCAGTGCGAAAAAACAGTAGGTCGCAAGAAGATGTACAATACATACAAACCTCTCCGCCATCGCATTGACGACCGCTATTTGAGGAGGAGCAAATAAGCCACAAAGTGACTGCTTGAATAAGACTCATTATCAAATTTCATTGTTATCTATCGTTTTTAGCACATTAAAATTGAAAGCATTTCGCCACTACAACACGCGGACCCTGGAAGAACTCAGTTTGAAGGCTTGGAATGGAATTGGACAATAAAATTACAATGCATTGTGTACTAACTGGTAGCGACCAGGAAAACGGACACGACGACTACTGCTCATAGGTTATGGAGTTAGGAGGTCGTCAGTCAGAAGCGGAAGCTTGGTAGGAGACACTTTGGCGCGTGCAGAAGACTACATGTCTGGGCGGTCTAGGGAGAGTCGATATGAGCCACATTCAAGCAGTCGACCGGAGGCATCTCAGTGTGACCGCTACAGGAATTTGTGAATTGCCCGGTTCATTGATGTTTTGGCAGATTTTGAATAATTCATATTGACCCAACTGTGAAAAACTCGGCGCCTCAGTGGGATTCGAACCCACGCAGTAAGGGGAAGGCTTTAGCGCAGCCAACGCTCTAACCACCTGAGCTACGAGGCTCAGGTGGTTAGAGCGTTGGCTGCGCTAAAGCCTTCCCCTTACTGCGTGGGTTCGAATCCCACCGAGGCGCCGAGTTTTTCACAGTTGGGTCAATATGAATTGCCCGGTGGTGTACGATAGGACCCAGAGGCACCTTATGAGGTGATTTTAGTGGTCTGGTAATGCTATCCGTGGGAACAAACACGTAAACGCGGAACGGAACCTTGAGTTGCCGATTAAAGTGTTTGTGTGAACTGGCGAATGAAGGATGGTATGCTGTTGTGCGTATGTAGGAGCATCTGAGATTGCGGTATGAAGATGAGTGATGAAAACGCTCTTAAGAATGATTAATTGAAAATGTTTACAATGAATGTGACAAGTGAGTTTTTAAGGAGAAAAAACTGTCGCTCTTGGGAGGAAAATAGGAGCAACTGGGACGGGACGGCCTTGCAAATGAATTTGTGAACCGGAAGGAACCGATTTACACAGCCAAAGCGCAGCAGATACGATCCTAATATCTTTTGCCTGACTGCAGAAATGACTGGCAAGTTGCCTGAACAGAGAAACCCATTCCGAAAACCAGCAGTTCATTTAGGGTATAAACTTGGGAGGACTTAAAAGGCCACGAAGGTAATCGACAAAGTGCTGAGAATGTTTTTCAAAGGTAGAATTTCGTGTCGGCGCTTCCAGAAAGACCGACGACGGAAAATGTGTTCATGCAGATCTCACACGGTTCGGACCACTAACGGCAAGTGATGCTCTCCGCCTGTTGCGCGCATGACGCATCTTCGGAACTAATTCGGAATGTCTGCGATATGCAGGTGGGCGGATAAATAACTTGTGGACACCTCTCGCAAATGTCGCCTCGACTTCTTTTATCTTAGAAAAAGAAAGTGAAGAACGATGAAGTCAAAAGAGTTAGACAGGAGACGTCTAAGTAGTACAAATGCCTTTAGAGGCAACCGATGTAAAGTCACATAGAACTGTTGCATTATTACTGGAGAGAAAGCCGTGCCAGTCTGATGATCCAAGAAAGTTTTT